GTTTTATTTAAAACTAAGTTGACAAATTGACTATTAAATTCAAAGAAATGAGGGGAAAAGAAGCTAATAAACTAGTTCAGTTTCTAGTTCAGTTCTAGTTCAGTTCTAGTTCAGTTCTAGTTCAGTTCTAGTTCAGTTCTAGTTCAGTTCTAGTTCAGTTCTAGTTCAGTTCTAGTTCAGTTCTAGTTCAGTTCTAGTTCAGTTCTAGTTCAGTTCTAGTTCAGTTCTAGTTCAGTTCTAGTTCAGTTTCAGTTCTAGTTCAGTTCTAGTTCAGTTCTAGTTCTAGTTCAGTTCTAGTTCAGTTCTAGTTCAGTTCTAGTTCAGTTCTAGTTCAGTTCTAGTTCAGTTCTAGTTCAGTTCTAGTTCTAGTTCAGTCCTATTTCTAGTTCAGTTCTATTTCTAGTTCAGTTCTAGTTCAGTTCTATTTCTAGTTCAGTCTATTTCTAGTTCAGTTCTATTTCTAGTTCAGTTCTATTTCTAGTTCAGTTCTATTTCTAGTTCTTCAGTTCTATTTCTAGTTCAGTTCTAGTTCAGTTCTAGTTCAGTTCTAGTTCAGTTCTAGTTCAGTTCTAGTTCAGTTCTAGTTCAGTTCTAGTTCAGTTCTAGTTCAGTTCTAGTTCAGTTCTAGTTCAGTTCTAGTTCAGTTCAGTTCAGTAGTTCAGTTCTAGTTCAGTTCTAGTTCAGTTCTAGTTCAGTTCTAGTTCAGTTCTAGTTCAGTTCTAGTTCAGTTCTAGTTCAGTTCTAGTTCAGTTCTAGTTCAGTTCTAGTTCAGTTCTAGTTCAGTTCTAGTTCAGTTCTAGTTCAGTTCTAGTTCAGTTCTAGTTCAGTTCTAGTTCAGTTCTAGTTCAGTTCTAGTTCAGTTCTAGTTCAGTTCTAGTTCAGTTCTAGTTCAGTTCTAGTTCAGTTCTAGTTCAGTTCTAGTTCAGTTCTAGTTCAGTTCTAGTTCAGTTCTAGTTCAGTTCTAGTTCAGTCTAGTTCAGTTCTAGTTCAGTTCTAGTTCAGTTCTAGTTCAGTTCTAGTTCAGTTCTAGTTCAGTTCTAGTTCAGTTCTAGTTCAGTTCTAGTTCAGTTCTAGTTCAGTTCTAGTTCAGTTCTAGTTCAGTTCTAGTTCAGTTCTAGTTCAGTTCTAGTTCAGTTCTAGTTCTAGTTCAGTTCTAGTTCAGTTCTAGTTCAGTTCTAGTTCAGTTCTAGTTCAGTTCTAGTTCAGTTCTAGTTCAGTTCTAGTTCTAGTTCTAGTTCAGTTCTAGTTCAGTTCTAGTCTTCAGTTCCTATTTCTAGTTCAGTTCTAGTTCTAGTTCAGTTCTATTTCTAGTTCAGTTCTATTTCAGTTCAGTTATATTTCTAGTTCAGTTCTATTTCTAGTCAGTTCTATTTCTAGTTCAGTTCTATTTCTAGTTCAGTTCTAGTTCAGTTCTAGTTCAGTTCTAGTTCAGTTCTAGTTCAGTTCTAGTTCAGTTCTAGTTCAGTTCTAGTTCAGTTCTAGTTCAGTTCTAGTTCAGAACTTCTAGTTCCGTTCTAGTTCAGTTCTAGTTCAGTTCTAGTTCAGTTCTATTCAGTTTCTAGTTCAGTTCTAGTTCAGTTCTAGTTCAGTTCTAGTAGGTCAGTTTCTAGTTTCAGTTCTAGTTCAGTTCTAGTTCAGTTCTAGTAGTTCAGTTCTAGTTCAGTTCTAGTTCAGTTCTAGTTCAGTTCTAGTTCAGTTCTAGTTCAGTTCTATTCAGTTCTAGTTCAGTTCTAGTTCAGTTCAGTTCAGTTCTAGTTCAGTTCTAGTTCAGTTCTAGTTCAGTTCTAGTTCAGTTCTAGTTCAGTTCTAGTTCAGTTCTAGTTCAGTTCTAGTTCAGTTCTAGTTCAGTTCTAGTTCAGTTCTAGTTCAGTTCTAGTTCAGTTCTAGTTCAGTTCTAGTTCAGTTCTAGTTCAGTTCAGTTCTAGTTCAGTTCTAGTTCAGTTCTAGTTCAGTTCTAGTTCAGTTCTAGTTCAGTTCTAGTTCAGTTCTAGTTCTAGTTCAGTTCAGTTCAGTTCTAGTTCAGTTCTAGTTCAGTTCTAGTTCAGTTCTAGTTCAGTTCTAGTTCAGTTCTAGTTCAGTTCTAGTTCAGTTCTAGTTCAGTTCTAGTTCAGTTCTAGTTCAGTTCTAGTTCAGTTCTAGTTCAGTTCTAGTTCAGTTCTAGTTCAGTTCTAGTTCAGTTCTAGTTCAGTTCTAGTTCAGTTCTAGTTCAGTTCTAGTTCAGTTCTAGTTCAGTTCTAGTTCAGTTCTAGTTCAGTTCTAGTTCAGTTCTAGTTCAGTTTCTAGTTCAGTTCTAGTTCAGTTCTAGTTCAGTTCTAGTTCAGTTCTAGTTCAGTTCTAGTTCAGTTCTAGTTCAGTTCTAGTTCAGTTCTAGTTCAGTTCTAGTTCAGTTCTAGTTCAGTTCTAGTTCAGTTCTAGTTCAGTTCTAGTTCAGTTCTAGTTCAGTTCTAGTTCAGTTCTAGTTCAGTTCTAGTTCAGTTTAGTCTAGTTCAGTTCTAGTTCAGTTCTAGTTCAGTTCTAGTTCAGTTCTAGTTCAGTTCTAGTTTCAGTTCTAGTTCAGTTCTAGTTCAGTTCTAGTTTCAGTTCTAGTTCAGTTCTAGTTCAGTTCTAGTTCAGTCTAGTTCAAGTTCTAGTTCAGTTCTAGTTCAGTTCTAGTTCAGTTCTAGTTCAGTTCTAGTTCAGTTCTAGTTCAGTTCTAGTTCAGTTCTAGTTCAGTTCTAGTTCAGTTCTAGTTCAGTTCTAGTTCAGTTCTAGTTCAGTTCTAGTTCAGTTCTAGTTCAGTTTCTAGTTCAGTTCTAGGTTCAGTTCTAGTTCAGTTCTAGTTCAGTTCTAGTTCAGTTCTAGTTCAGTTCTAGTTCAGTTCTAGTTCAGTTCTAGTTCAGTTCTAGTTCAGTTCTAGTTCAGTTCTAGTTCAGTTCTAGTTCAGTTTAGTTCAGTTCTAGTTCAGTTCTAGTTCAGTTCTAGTTCAGTTCTAGTTCAGTTCTAGTTCAGTTCTAGTTCAGTTCTAGTTCAGTTCTAGTTCAGTTTCTAGTTCAGTTCTAGTTCAGGTTCTAGTTCAGTTCTAGTTCAGTTCTAGTTCAGTTCTAGTTCAGTTCTAGTTCAGTTCTAGTTCAGTTCTAGTTCAGTTCTAGTTCAGTTCTAGTTCAGTTCTAGTTCAGTTCTAGTTCAGTTCTAGTTCAGTTCTAGTTCAGTTCTAGTTCAGTTCTAGTTCAGTTCTAGTTCAGTTTAGTTCAGTTCTAGTTCAGTTCTAGTTTCAGTTCTAGTTCAGTTCTAGTTCAGTTCTAGTTCAGTTCTAGTTCAGTTCTAGTTCAGTTCTAGTTCAGTTCTAGTTCAGTTCTAGTTCAGTTCTAGTTCAGTTCTAGTTCAGTTCTAGTTCCGTTCTAGTCAGTTCTAGTTCAGTTCTAGTTCAGTTCTAGTTCAGTTCTAGTTCAGTTCTAGTTCAGTCTAGTTCAGTTCTAGTTCAGTTCTATAGTTCAGTTCTAGTTCAGTTCTAGTTCAGTTCTAGTTCAGTTCTAGTTCATGTTCTAGTTCAGTTCTAGTTCAGTTCTAGTTCAGTTCTAGTTCAGTCTAGTTCAGTTCTAGTCGTTCTAGTTCAGTCTAGTTCAGTTCTAGTTCAGTTCTAGTTTCAGTTCTAGTTCAGTTCTAGTTCAGTTCTAGTTCAGTTCTAGTTCGTTCTAGTTCAGTTCTAGTTCAGTTCTAGTTCAGTCTAGTTCAGTTCTAGTTCAGTTCTAGTTCAGGTTCTAGTTCAGTTCTAGTTCAGTTCTAGTTCAGTTCTAGTTCAGTTCTAGTTCAGTTCTAGTTCAGTTCTAGTTCAGTTCTAGTTCAGTTCTAGTTCAGTTCTAGTTCAGTTCTAGTTCAGTTCTAGTTCAGTTCTAGTTCAGTTCTAGTTCAGTTCTAGTTCAGTTCTAGTTCAGTTCTAGTTCAGTTCTAGTTCAGTTTCTAGTTCAGTTCTAGTTCAGTTCTAGTTCAGTTCTAGTTCAGTTCTAGTTCAGTTCTAGTTCAGTTCTAGTTCTAGTAGTTCTAGTTCAGTTCTAGTTCAGTTCTAGTTCAGTTCTAGTTCAGTTCTAGTTCAGTTCTAGTTCAGTTCTAGTTCAGTTCTAGTTCAGTTCTAGTTCAGTTCTAGTTCAGTTCTAGTTCAGTTCTAGTTCGTCTAGTTTAAGTTCTAGTTCAGTTCTAGTTCAGTTCTAGTTCGTTCTAGTTCAGTTCTAGTCAGTTCTAGTTCAGTTCTAGTCAGTTCTAGTTCAGTTCTAGTTCAGTTCTAGTTCAGTTCTAGTTCAGTTCTAGTTCATGTTCTAGTTCAGTTCTAGTATTCAGTTCTAGTTCAGTTCAGTTTAGTTCAGTTCTAGTTCTAGTCAGTTCTAGTTCAGTTCTAGTTCAGTTCTAGTTCAGTTCTAGTTCAGTTCTAGTTCAGTTCTAGTTCAGTTCTAGTTCAGTTCTAGTTCAGTTCTAGTTCAGTTCTAGTTCAGTTCTAGTTCAGTTCTAGTTCAGTTCTAGTTCAGTTCTAGTTCAGTTCTAGTTCTAGTTCAGTTCTAGTTCAGTTCTAGTTCAGTTTCTAGTCAGTTCTAGTTAGTTCTAGTTCAGTCTAGTTCAGTTCTAGTCAGTTCTAGTTCAGTTCTATTCAGTTCTATTCAGTTCTAGTTCAGTTCTAGTTCAGTTCTAGTTCAGTTCTAGTTTAGTTCTAGTTTAGTTCTAGTTCAGTTCTAGTTTAGTTCTCGTTTACAAAATCAAATTTAATATTATATATTAAAAGTTATTGTGTTTCATTTCTACTAAGACCTCTAAATACGAAATCTTTGTTGTAGTTGTTTTTATTTTGATAATGTAAAAGCCAAGAAAATTGCATTTAAATAACACTTATATTTCAACAATATCAACACTATTCGCATAGTTTGTAAGTGTTTGTATGTATGTATATTGTAATCATTTACTAGTTAACCTCCATACATATACTAAGTTAACATGACGTACTTATTGAGTGCTGTTGTATTTATTTTCAGGAGCTAAAAAGTCAACAACAAGCGATTATGATGATGATGCAAAAACCAAACAGCAAAAGCAACAAAAATCTACGAAGAAAACTAAAAAGGATATGCAAGCACTTGCGGCAGTTGCTGATAGTCGTTGTAATAGTAATAGTAGTAGCAATGTCAGTAGTAGTTGTAGCACTACGACTAACAGCACTAGTGGCAGTAGTAAAAATAGAAAAATATCAACAAAAGAGACACAATCACGAAATCCCATCAGACGTTCACAAAGTGAAAAGGCAGCCAACAACTACAGCACCAACAATGAGAACAACGTCGACATATCACAATAGCAATAGCAACAACAACAATAAAAAGAAGAAAGACCAACAATTGCACCACAATACTGCACATGTTGATAATGGTGGCAGCAGTGTCAGTAACGAAAATATTATTCCAAATACCAGGAATAGCTTAAAGGACATAGAAAATATACCAAATAATATAAATGACAGCAGAAGTGCTGATTGTGCTGGTTTGGTAACAGTTAGACGAAGTGTGGCGAGTGTAAGGGGTGGTAATGGTAACAAAACTTCATTGCATTTTCATGATACAATGGCATTGCGCAACCGTTACAACCGCAACGATACAAGGGATTTATTTAGTTTGGGACCTATAGAAAGACCTAGAGAACCACCACCACCGCCTCCATCATCAGCGTCGTCTTCAATGGCACAAACTCCATCACCACTTCCAGCACCCATGCAATCAACTACAACTGCAGTGGATATGGCTAATGCAATGGCCACGACAACAACTCCATTGAGTAATTCATTGCCTAAGGCTGTGGACTTCAAAGAGTCAACTAAATCCTCCTCCATTACCTTGGCAACAGATGCAATAGAAAGTTTTCCACAACAGCAACAAACTTTTAACGGATTAGAGAACCGTAAACAACAGCAACAAGAACAAAAGTTGACAATAACAACAACAACAACAACAAACAATACGATATTTTGTAAAGAAATCAATGAAGCTACTTTAATCGAAGACAAAACGAAAAAACAGCAACAAATGGTTGGCACTACAAAAACCGCCACAGAAATGACAAATAGTGAAAAAACCACAACGGATTTATCATCACAATCATCGTCGTCTTCCCCTTTAGATAAAAGCCAAGAACAACAGAAAATATTACCAGCAGCAAACGGCAATAATAAACAACAGCAACGAACTGTTGTTAGAGTTGCTCCATTTAATAAAAATTCCTCTGAAGTACATCGTTTGAAAATTTCCCACACAGATAATAACGATGCTTATCCACACTCACCTCAGACACCCAACACACCAAATTCAACATGCAACACTTTCACCTGCATGCCCCACTCCTCGCCGTTTTCCAACTCTTCACACTACAGTGTTACGGATTTGAGTACATTAAATGCCTCCAACGAATATGGCCAAAAGAAAACTTCAATTTTAATTAATGGTGATGATTGTTATAGCACCATGAATTTAAGCTGTGATGACTCCTGTACACCACTCTATCAATCCTCTGTGGTGGTAACAGATGGTTCGACCAAAACTGATAATGACTTACAAGGCTTAAGAGTGACAAATACCTATAATACGGTAACCATAAATGTAAGTAGTCCTCGCAGCTCAGAGGATGAACTAATACAACATCACAATCAGTTGAATAATCTGTTGAAGAGACAAGCAAAGACCTCGTCAGCCGCAGGCAGTATACGTGCTATAATACCTATACGTGGCACTATAGATATAAACCTGCAAAGATCTGCTTCGTCCACCTCTTCAACATCAACGAGTTCCATAACAAGTTCTTGTTCTTCAGCTTCAAGTTCCAGCAATACAGGCAACACCTCGAAGAGAGGAAAAACATTAATACGTTTAGACTACGAAAAGGAAAAACCTTTAGTCAACGAATCTAAGATCTCGTCTACCATGATAAATGAACAGCTGCCAGAGGAGGTAGATACCGATGAATGGTTGCCTCATGAAACGGAGTTGCTGAAAATCTTAAGGAATCCCGTCGAGGCGGTAAAACGTAATTTGGTACCTCATATTTGTAAACTAAGGGAAACTGATACCCAAAAAGATGCCAAGAGATCAAAGAAAATGAAGGAGAGACATTCGGATATTTTGGAAACATCTGTCACAAGTAGCAGCAGCAGTAGTAGTAATGTTGCGGCTAGCACCTCGAATAAAGCTACAGATTCGTCATCATCAACTACTTTTATAGGCAAACTGTTAGAAGATCCCATGTTACAGCAGGTGGCTGAGGGCTTAGAAACAGATACAGTTGCTGAATTGATAGAGAACTCTCTCAAACGTTTGCAAGAGTCCAGAAGTTCTCTAGATATGACTGGTACCAAAGATAATGATGATATGAATCGTCTGATTGATCTATCGCTAAAACGTATACAAGAAGAGCGTAACTCTTCCAACAAGGAAGCCAACTGCAACTCGAATTTGTTAAATGTGCCCTCCAAGGATGAAGAACGTTTGTCAAATCGCGGTAGCATAAGTTCAGCCAATAGTTTTGCCTCGGCTCACAACTACGAATTGTTCGACTTTGAAGCCAATGAATCCGATTGCTACCAAAGTTGTTCGAGTGATATCAACTCTATAATGGAAGAAGAAATACCATCACCAGAAACCAAAACCAAGTTCTATCAAATGCTGGTAGATGCCACTTTGCAGGAGATTGAGCTCTCCACAAATATCGAAGATATGACCAATGATGAACATCAATATGAATCCATTAGACATAATATAGATCCGATATATGAAGAAATATCAGATGTGCCGCCACCTTTGCCTTTAACCGCTCCTCCTCTCAATGATCCCGAATTGGAAAAGAAATCGGCCAGATCTATATTCGAAGGAGCGTCCAAGTATGATATACTCTCTTATTTAGTAGATGCCAAAGAGAGAGGTCTGGTAAAAGAAGAGCCCTTTGATTATCCTCTCAATTGCTCTAACCCCATTATCATAGAAGAAGAATCCACAGACACTCTTAGCGATTTGGGCAAATTAAACAAACTCAAGAGAATAGATACCATTAGCTCTAGATCATCGATAATGAGTGATTCTTCAGATGATAACCAAAGTACCATGAGCTCGTTGTCACCACCCACTTCAAACAACTTCATGCTACTACGCAACAAACAAGCTACCAGTGATATAGAACGTAATGATTCTGGTGTGGGTTCAGAAACCAGTAAATCGTCTCGTAGTAAATTTTTAAATCCCACCATATCCTCTTCTCCCTCACCCACTTCAAATTCCTCCTCACCGATTTCACATCAACACTCCTCTCAGATCCGTTCCAGTCCCATACATTTATGCGAAGATTGTGATGGTCCCGTCGAAACTCAGATCGGTGAAAATGGCCATATTTTTGCACCCTTAGTTTGTCGTAAATGTGGTAAAAAGCGTGTCGAACGCAAAGAAATCATTACCGAAGTTGTTGAGACCGAAGAGAAATATGGTCGTGATCTTCAGATTATTTTAGAAGAATTTTGTCATCCCATGTTGGTGGCCGGTCTCCTAACACAAGAGCAACTCTCTGCAATCTTCTTGAATACCGAAGAATTGCTCGAGAACAATCAAACTCTTGCCGAACGTATGCGTGATGCACTTGATATCGCTCTGGAGCAGGGTGATGATGACTTATTAACTGTGAATATAGGTAAAATATTCTTGGAATCCACACAAATGTTGCATGCCTTCGAAAGCTATTGTGTGCGTCAAGCTGGCGCCAGTCTTTTGCTGGCCAATCTTGAGAAAGAAAAGGAATTGTTGCGCATTTTTCTGAAAGTGTCACAAATGGAGAATGCCGTTTTAAGGAGAATGAATTTAAATTCATTTTTAATGGTGAGTTATAACGATACATATTTTAACAATTTATAAACTAGATTAATCATTAATTTTATGAAATCATTCTGGTGAAAAAATTTTATTTTTTAATATTCTTATTTCATTTATTTTATTCTCTCACTCTTGCATTTTAATTCTATGTTTCTGTTCCCTCTTTTTAAACAGGTACCTGTTCAACGTGTCACCAAATATCCTTTACTTTTGGCTCGTTTATATAAAGTCACACCAGCACATCTGGAAGGACGTGATCAACTTAAGCAGGCACAAGAAAAAATTGAATTACACTTGAATCATATCAATCAGGAAGCAAAAGATGTACCAACAAAACTCTGGCGTCGTATCTCTTCATCGAGTCCCAATCGACGTGCTTCCTGTGAAATTGATATGATAAACATAAAGCTACGTAAAATGGCCATAGATGTGCTCGAATGGAATCACGATGAAGTGCGTTTTGTCATGGAAGGCAAATTGCTCTACACCCAACCCACAGATAGCAATTGGAAAAAGGCTCGCACCATTAAGCTGACAACAGTAAATGCTCTACTGGTAACAAATGGAAAGGTAAAAAACAAAAAAACTACTTGACACAAAATAAAAAAATCTCTAATATCTTATATGTATCATATGCACCATTCAATAACACTAGTACTCTTCTACATTTAGTACATTTTGAATAAGAGTTTGTATAGTGCTAATGACTGCCACAGCTCGATAACACAATTCAGTATTTGTTTCAACATCACAACAAAAAATTCAACTCATTCGTGTTCTCATGCTTACACAAATAGCCATAGAATTCAATAATTTTGACCACTATTGGGCATTAGAGCACTTTAACTAAATGGTACTTGAAAATGTGTATTTGAGGATTTTTTGTTTTCCAGTTGTATACAACACTACAGTTTACATATAAGCATTTGAAGGACATATGGAGTAGTATTTAATTTTAGTTTGTTTTATTTTACATTCATTCAATATTCTACTGAAATGTATTTATTTTGAAATAAATTTTATGAAAAATATGAATTCATTTTTATTGGTCTCTGTACCCATTTGGTTTAAAAGGATTTCAATAGCTAAGTTTTATGTGTGTCCTGAAATATTACAGTGGAAGCCACAATTAGCTTGTTATGATTCCGATAAAATAAAATATTGATAAATTTATATGAGTTTGCATATTTTATCTCAGATCTAATTAAAACCACTTTAAACATTTTTGAAGAAAGGAACTGAACTAGAACTGAACTAGAACTAAACTAGAACTGAACTAGAACTGAACTAGAACTGAACTAGAACTGAACTAGAACTGAACTAGAACTGAACTAGAACTGAACTAGAACTGAACTAGAACTGAACTAGAACTGAACTAGAACTGAACTAGAACTGAACTAGAACTGAACTAGAACTGAACTAGAACTGAACTAGAACTGACTAGAACTGAACTAGAACTGAACTAGAACTGAACTAGAAACTGAACTAGAACTGAACTAGAACTGAACTAGAACTGAACTAGAACTGAACTAGAACTGAACTAGAACTGAACTAGAACTGAACTAGAACTGAACTAGAACTGAACTAGAACTGAACTAGAACTGAACTAGAACTGAACTAGAACTGAACTAGAACTGAACTAGAACTGAACTAGAACTGAACTAGAACTGAACTAGAACTGAACTAGAACTGAACTAGAACTGAACTAGAACTGAACTAGAACTGAACTAGAACTGAACTAGAACTGAACTGAACTGAACTAGAACTGAACTAGAACTGAACTAGAACTGAACTAGAACTGAACTAGAACTGAACTAGAACTGAACTAGAACTGAACTAGAACTGAACTAGAACTGAACTAGAACTGAACTAGAACTGAACTAGAACTGAACTAGAACTGAACTAGAACTGAACTAGAACTGAACTAGAACTGAACTAGAACTGAACTAGAACTGAACTAGAACTGAACTAGAACTGAACTAGAACTGAACTAGAACTGAACTAGAACTGAACTAGAACTGAACTAGAACTGAACTAGAACTGAACTAGAACTGAACTAGAACTGAACTAGAATGAACTAGAACTGAACTAGAACTGAACTAGAACTGAACTAGAACTGAACTAGAACTGAACTAGAACTGAACTAGAACTGAACTAGAACTGAACTAGAACTGAACTAGAACTGAACTAGAACTGAACTAGAACTGAACTAGAACTGAACTAGAACTGAACTAGAACTGAACTAGAACTGAACTAGAACTGAACTAGAACTGAACTAGAACTGAACTAGAACTGAACTAGAACTGAACTAGAACTGAACTAGAACTGAACTAGAACTGAACTAGAATGAACTAGAACTGAACTAGAACTGAACTAGAACTGAACTAGAACTGAACTAGAACTGAACTAGAACTGAACTAGAACTGAACTAGAATGAACTAGAACTGAACTAGAACTGAACTAGAACTGAACTAGAACTGAACTAGAACTGAACTAGAACTGAACTAGAACTGAACTAGAACTGAACTAGAACTGAACTAGAACTGAACTAGAACTGAACTAGAACTGAACTAGAACTGAACTAGAACTGAACTAGAACTGAACTAGAACTGAACTAGAACTGAACTAGAACTGAACTAGAACTGAACTAGAACTGAACTAGAACTGAACTAGAACTGAACTAGAACTGAACTAGAACTGAACTAGAACTGAACTAGAACTGAACTAGAACTGAACTAGAACTGAACTAGAACTGAACTAGAACTGAACTAGAACTGAACTAGAAGAACTGAACTGAGAACTGAACTAGAACTGAACTAGAACTGAACTAGAACTGAACTAGAACTGAACTAGAACTGAACTAGAACTGAACTAGAACTGAACTAGAACTGAACTAGAACTGAACTAGAACTGAACTAGAACTGAACTAGAACTGAACTAGAACTGAACTAGAAACTGAACTAGAATGAACTAGAACTGAACTAGAACTGAACTAGAACTGAACTAGAACTGAACTAGAACTGAACTAGAACTGAACTAGAACTGAACTAGAACTGAACTAGAACTGAACTAGAACTGAACTAGAACTGAACTAGAACTGAACTAGAACTGAACTAGAACTGAACTAGAACTGAACTAGAACTGAACTAGAACTGAACTAGAACTGAACTAGAACTGAACTAGAACTGAACTAGAACTGAACTAGAACTGAACTAGAACTGAACTAGAACTGAACTAGAACTGAACTAGAACTGAACTAGAACTGAACTAGAACTGAACTAGAACTGAACTAGAACTGAACTAGAACTGAACTAGAACTGAACTAGAACTGAACTAGAACTGAACTAGAACTGAACTAAACTGAACTAGAACTGAACTAGAACTGAACTAGAACTGAACTAGAACTGAACTAGAACTGAACTAGAACTGAACTAGAACTGAACTAGAACTGAACTAGAACTGAACTAGAACTGAACTAGAACTGAACTAGAACTGAACTAGAACTGAACTAGAAGAACTAGAACTGAACTAGAACTGAACTAGAACTGAACTAGAACTGAACTAGAACTGAACTAGAACTGAACTAGAACTGAACTAGAACTGAACTAGAACTGAACTAGAACTGAACTAGAACTGAACTAGAACTGAACTAGAACTGAACTAGAACTGAACTAGAACTGAACTAGAACTCAACTAGAACTGAACTAGAACTGAACTAGAACTGAACTAGAACTGAACTAGAACTGAACTAGAACTGAACTAGAACTGAACTAGAACTGAACTGAAGAACTAAAGAATGACTGAACTAGAACTGAACTAGAACTGAGCTAGAACTGAACTAAAGTAAAACACTTTGCTAAAAAATTCTTTTTTACCAAAACTTACTTTTCACCAAGTAGGCTTCTTAGCTTAAAAGCATCAAATATGTATATATTTCTTATATTAAAGTCACGTTTAAGAGTTACGCATTAAACATATGATAAAAAAGCTTTTGCCCTATTCCATATAATAAAATTTAAAATGTACATTTCCTTTTTAATTGATAACCAACTAGACAAATATATAACGCGTGATTTTAGTCTCCGCTATATACATACATATGTATGTATGGATTTACTGTATACATGAATAATACAATTCTGAATAGATTCTTTTAACAAAACTGGCATCTAGTGTATTTAAAAAAACGTTCATGCTTGTTTAACACATTAAATTGAACACTAGCATTTTTCTGAGAAAAACAGCAACAATAATAAAATGAATCAAACAAATTGAAAGCGAAATACACACTCATACAAATAAAAAAAATGCAGAAACTCTTTTAACTAAACCAAACACACACGTATCCTTTTTTGTTTTACAGTTTGACAACATTTTCAATCTTTTGTTATCATTTCAATTTTTATTTCTGTATTTTTTTTTTTCTCTCTCTCTTTTTAACTTCTTTTATATTTTATCAACACTTGTACATCCTGCCTGAAAACATTGGATGAAAAAAAAACTACAAATCTATTGCATATTCACCAATCAACCGATCTACCAACAAACGGAACGTTTCAACCAAACCAACCCACCCACAACCTCAACATACACAATCTCTTGCACATGCAGCCAAGTACCAATTATAAAGCAGAAAAAGTCATGTCAGATAAACTGAATTTTCCCAAACATACCGGAATACGAGAAGCTTCATTGTTGGTGGTCAAGGAGAAGTGCGGACGTTATACATTGATACGTGAGCCATTGTATTTGGATCGTTGTGTTGTATGTAGTGAAGCAGATTGGGATGAATATTTTGAAATACAAGAGATTTCTTCAAGGATACATTCATCTTTAAGGTAAATAGGAAAAAGCAAACAACAAAAATTTAGACATTTCTAAAATCTTGTTTTTGTTACTTGAAAAAAAAATAATTTATTCGATAGGAAATTGGGTTGTTAGGATTTTAAATAGATTTAATAGAAATTAAACCAAAGAAATGGTATTTTAGAGGAAATCAAAGTAGAAAACACACTTTAAGATTTATAAATTATTAATAAACATATTTTGAATTAAGTTCAGTTCTAGTTCAGTTCTAGTACAGTTCTAGTTCAGTTCTAGTTCAGTTCTAGTTCAGTTCTAGTTCAGTTCTAGTTCAGTTCTAGTTCAGTTCAGTTCGTCTAGTTCAGTTCTAGTTCAGTTCTAGTTCAGTTCTAGTTCAGTTCTAGTTCAGTTCGAGTTCTAGTTCAGTTCTAGTTCAGTTCTCGTTCAGTTCTAGTTAAGTTCTAGTTCAGTTCTGCTTCAGTTCTAGTTCCGTTTCTAGTCAGTTCTAGTTCAGTCTAGTTCAGTTCTAGTTCAGTTCTAGTTAGTTCTAGTTCAGTTCTCTAGTTCAGTTCTAGTTCAGGTTCTAGTTCCGTTTCTAGTTCCTTTAGTTCAGTTCTAGTTCCGTTCTAGTTTCAGTTCTAGTCAGTTCTAGTTCCATTCTAGTCAGTTACTAGTGCAGTTCTAGTTCAGTTCTAGTTCAGTTCTAGTTCAGTTCTAGTTCAGTTCTAGCTTCAGTTCTAGTTCAGTTCTAGTTCAGTTCTAGTTCAGTTCTAGTTCAGTTTCTAGTTCAGTTCTCGTTCGTTCTAGTTCAGTTCTAGATCAGTTCTAGCTTCAGTTCTAGTTCAGTTCTGTCAGTTCTAGATCAGTTCTAGCTTCAGTTCTAGTTCAGTTCTAGTCAGTTCAGTTCTAGTTCAGTTCTAGTTCAGTTCTAGTTCAGTTCTAGTTCAGTTCTAGTTCAGTTCTAGTTCAGTTCTAGTTCAGTTCTAGTTCAGTTCTAGTTCAGTTCTAGTTCAGTTCTAGTTCAAGTTCTAGTTCAGCTTCTAGTTCAGTTCTAGTTCAGTTCTAGTTCAGTTCTAGTTCAGTTCTAGTTCAGTTCTAGTTCAGTTCTAGTCAGTTCTAGTTCAGTTCTAGTTCAGTTCTAGTTCAGTTCTAGTTCAGTTCTAGTTCAGTTCTAGTTCAGTTCTAGTTCAGTTCTAGTTCAGTTCTAGTTCAGTTCTAGTTCAGTTCTAGTTCAGTTCTAGTTCAGTTCTAGTTCAGTTCTAGTTCAGTTCTAGTTCAGTTCTAGTTCAGTTCTAGTTCAGTTCTAGTTCAGTTCAGTTCAGTTCTAGTTCAGTTCTAGTTCAGTTCTAGTTCAGTTCTAGTTCAGTTCTAGTTCAGTTCTAGTTCAGTTCTAGTCAGTTCTAGTTCAGTTCTAGTTCAGTTCTAGTTCAGTTCTAGTTCAGTTCTAGTTCAGTTCTAGTAGTTCTAGTTCAGTTCTAGTTCAGTTCTAGTTCAGTTCTAGTTCAGTTCTAGTTCAGTTCTAGTTCAGTTCTAGTTCAGTTCTAGTTCAGTTCTAGTTCAGTTCTAGTTCAGTTCTAGTTCAGTTCTAGTTCAGTTCTAGTTCAGTTCTAGTTCAGTTCTAGTTCAGTTCCAGTTCAGTTCTCAGTTCTAGTTCAGTTCTAGTTCAGTTCTAGTTCAGTTCTAGTTCAGTTCTAGTTCAGTTCTAGTTCAGTTCTAATTCAGTTCTAGTTAGTTCTAGTTCAGTTCTAGTTCAGTTCTAGTTCAGTTCTAGTTCAGTTCTAGTTCAGTTATCAGTTCAGTTCTAGTTCAGTTTAGTTCAGTTCTAGTTCAGTTCTAGTTCAGTTCTAGTTCAGTTCTAGTTCAGTTCTAGTTCAGTTCTAGTTCTAGTTCAGTTCTAGTTCAGTTCTATTTCAGTTCTAGTTCAGTTCTAGTTCAGTTCTAGTTCAGTTCTAGTTCAGTTCTAGTTCAGTTTCTAGTTAGTCAGTTCTAGTTCAGTTCTAGTTCACTTCTAGTTCAGCTCTAGTTCAGTTCTAGTTCAGTCTCGTTTCAGTTCTAGTTCAGTTCTTGTTCAGTTCTAGTTTCAGTTCTAGTTCAGTTCTAGCTTCAGTTCTAGTTCAGTTCTAGTTCAGTTCTAGTTCAGTTATAGTTCAGTTTCTAGTTCGTTCTAGTTCAGTTCTAGTTCAGTTCTAGTCAGTTCTAGTTCAGTTCAGGTTTAGTTCAGTTCAGTTCTAGTTCAGTGATAGTTCAATTCTAGTTGATTCCTAGTTCAGTTCTAGTTCAGTTTCATATGTTTACCACAATAACCAAATAATTTCTCTCTTCTCCAATTCCAGGCTGAGGATAATGTACGTACTAAACAATGGTATACACAATTACAATATCATGCTCAGGGTATGGGAGCCTGGCGTAAAAGACGTAACGCTTTAGCCAATATCATGATTAATGGCATGTTAACGCGCAGTTAAAGGGATCAAAATTCAACAACTCCCTCTCAAGAACTGCAAGCAGTTAAAAATAGATAAGCACGAAAAATAAAACTTTTTATGTAAAATATAAAAACGAACGATTAAAAAATTATAAAATTTAAATAAAATACTTATATATAAAAGTTATTTACATTCTTTCTACATTCTGCACTTATACACACACGAGTGTATTATTTTTGTGTGCATGTGAAGTGTGTAAATAAATAAAATATTAATAAACTTTATCTGTCTCTCTTCCCGTCTCTTTAAAATATATGTATGTATGTATGTAATCATACTAGTATGTGTGTATTTGTAGTTGTAGATAGTTTTAGCAGTTAGTAGAAGCGGTAGTAAAAGCACTTTAAATTCTTTATTCGAAATAAAAAAACACACAAAAAACTATTTTTCCCCCAATTTGTAATTATATTAAAATTAAACAATTTACATAAATAATATTCACATTAACAATTTAATTGAAAATATTTTATTCTATGTATTTAACTAGTGGTATCGCTATCTTTATTATTACGATTATTCAAAATTCAAAATTAAATAAGTATTTAGTTTATCCATTTAAATATTATGAATATACCTAATTATACGCGAATTGTATTGAAATATATTAATTAACTTTATTGTAAAGAATAATAAAACAAAAAAATTTAAACAAAAAATAATAAAACTGAATTTTTATGGTTGGGTTAGTTTTTAACTGGAATTCTATAAAATGTTATAAAATATTTAGACGTTAATAACATTAGTTCAGTTCTAGTTCAGTTCTAGTTCAATTCTAGTTCAGTTCTAGTTCAGTTCTAGTTCAGTTCTAGTTCAGTTCTAGTTCAGTTCTAGTTCAGTTCTAGTTCAGTTCTAGTTCAGTTCTAGTTCAGTTCTAGTTCAGTTCTAGTTCAGTTCTAGTTCAGTTCTAGTTCAGTTCTAGTTCAGTTCTAGTTCAGTTCTGTTCAGTTCTAGTTCAGTTCTAGTTCAGTTCTAGTTCAGTTCTAGTTCAGTTCTAGTTCAGTTCTAGTTCAGTTCTAGTTCAGTTCTAGTTCAGTTCTAGTTCAGTTCTAGTTCAGTTCTAGTTCAGTTCTAGTTCAGTTCTAGTTCAGTTCTAGTTCACGTTCTAGTTCAGTTCTAGTTCAGTTCTAGTTCAGTTCTAGTTCAGTTCTAGTTCAGTTCTAGTTCAGTTCTAGTTCAGTTCTAGTTCAGTTCTAGTTCAGTTCTAGTTCAGTTCTAGTTCAGTTCTAGTTCAGTTCTAGTTCAGTTCTAGTTCAGTTCTAGTTCAGTTCTAGTTCAGTTCTAGTTCAGTTCTAGTTCAGTTCTAGTTCAGTTTAAAACAGTTCTTGTTCTAAACATTATAATGTATAAATAATAAAGCAAATCGGCTAAATTACCATTTTTTAACATTTTCTTACATGAATGAAATAAATTTAACTCAATGCCATCATGGAGTACTCAAAACTCTCTATTGTGAATGTCTAACATGAATACCGCCGAGATTTTGGCAGTAGCCAAATAAAAGTATATAGCGAGAATATGAAGAAAAAAGTAATGTAAAATGTAATATTTTTTTTAGCAACGAGTTATGGTTAAAATATCTACATAGTATGTATGTGGCATGCATTATGATAGTGTTAAGTATAACTATGTGTCATATACATATGTATGTATGTATGTACATACATACAAGTGCAAACAGATACGTTTACATACAAACACACACACACATGTGTTCATAGTAAAGATAAAAAAAGAGGAACAAAAATCAAGTAGCAACAAAATTTCATAGTATCACAATCACATTGCATCCCTGTATATTGCAATATGTCTGTCAGTCAGTCAGTTAGTTATTCCATATAGTACGAGTATTGGCAGAAATTTCTGTTTAAATGCCGTAATGAAGTCTGTTTATACCGTATAATGTTCTATGTTTACATTACGTGCTTTGGATTTTATTATTTTCATTTTCATTTCACTTTAAACAACATCTTCTCACACAGCACAGCATCACTATACTCAACTTCACTTAGCACAACTGAACAACAGTTCAGTTCATTTCAACCCAATTCAACTATTTCTTTTATTTTCTTGTGTTTTCTCAGTAGTTTTTTATTTAGTTTTATTTAATATACAAATATTTTGAAGTGGTTTCTGTGTAGCTGAACATTAGCACACGTATATTTATAAGAACTTAAGGTGAAAAGGTTTGTGATAGGATTTGTAACGTTTTTTAAAGAAAAAGTTGAAAAACTGAACTAGAACTGAACTAGAACTGAACTAGAACTGAACTAGAACTGAACTAGAACTGAACTAGAACTGAACTAGAACTGAACTAGAACTGAACTAGAACTGAACTAGAACTGAACTAGAACTGAACTAGAACTGAACTAGAACTGAACTAGAACTGAACTAGAACTGAACTAGAACTGAACTAGAACTGAACTAGAACTGAACTAGAACTGAACTAGAACTGAACTAGAACTGAACTGAACTAGACTAACTGATCTAGAACTGAACTAGAACTGAACTAGAACAGAACAGAACTAGTTCGTTGCGCAATACATAAGATTTTAATGAAAACTAATGTTTTGGAGAAAAACTGAGCTTTGATGATAATCTGAGCTTTTAAAAGAACTTAGTTTTTGGCAAAATTGAGTTATTGATAAAATATTTTTAAAAGTTTAGTTTTTGAGTTTTCCGTACATTTACAAGTATGAGACCATGCATTTTTTAAATACTGTAAACATTTCCATTTTACTTAAAGTTTCTTTTTCACATAATCATCATCGTCATCACAGAAGGAAAGAACAAAAACAATATCACAAAATGTCCAAAACTTATATTTTTTCCTTGTTGACCAATATGTGGTTATTTGTACATGTGAAAAATGTATGCATAAGAAAAGACTTATTTATACCTTCTCGACTGCTATGTATAGGTATGAAACGTTATGGCTGCATATGTGTTTCTATGCAAATTTCCAAGGTGTTGACGGCAAGTTTGGTAAAATATCATATAAACAAAAGTGAAAATTATTTCAAGCCTAATGAAATATGTGTCATAAATTAGAAATAAAGAGTGCTAGCAAATGGGCAAACTAAATAAAGTGAAATTATGAAAACATTTCCAAAGTTTTTTAATCAAATTATGTATGCCTTTATCAAATAAACTGCGTATACGTAATATTTAATTGTAAACTATATTATATCGCGCATACGCCTAAAATATTTTTATTAATATGTGGGATATGACTGATATCCCACATACCGTATGAGTGATGTAGGTCGTTTATTATTAAACATAACGTATGCGTACAGTTTTGCTTAATATTTGTACAGAAACATTTTGAAGTTTTATCAAATACATATCAATTTAAATATATAAATTTCAATGTAACTCTCCTATATGAAATTGGCTACCTCAGTATAACTTTACATAAGCATACATACATATATATTTATATGCATAGGTACATACATACCTACATACATACATACATATTTGTTTATTTCTTGCTGCTGTTATTTTTATTCTTGTGCATTATGTATAAATGCTCATGTACAAATTTCAGCATATTTGTTTTCTTGGCAATGCACTTCGTTATTTTTGTGTATTTGTTTTCTTACTTCTTCACCCATATTACTATATTATTCTACAAAAGAAAATATACACCAAAATAAAAATAAACAAAAGTGAAAAAAACAACATCATGTTTATTAAAGTGTAATTGCAGGTTACAACTTTTAGTTGAGTTGATTTTACCATGATTTCTTTAACGGACTTCTTGTATTTCTTTTATTCTACAGTTTGAATTTATATGAGTATTAAGAATTTTTGTTGTTGTTGTTAAAAAAAGTAAATACTATAGTAAAAAAAACGTGTAAATGTGCCAAAATGTCATTAAATAAATTTATAGTTTTTATGTTGATTGTATAATTCATGCAGTAAAAAAGTGCATTTATGTGCCAAGCCAGAAAGAAACAATAAAAATTTTAATGAATTTTCTTTAACGATAAATTCAAGAATGAAAAAGGATAGATTTTCTAGTGTTAATAAAATTTTGAAATTTTTATTTTATTATTGAAAATTTATTGTAATTGCATTGGTTTTAGGAAAAAATGAATTTAAGATGAATATTTAGTTTTTTTTTTTTTTTTTTAAGCTGAGTTTAAGATGCAGAACTGACTTTTAGGGAAAAACTGAGGATTTAGAGAAAAACTAAGTTTTTAGTGAAGTTTTAGTGAAAGTATTTAGTGAAAAACTAAGTTTTTAGTGAAAATCTAAGTATTTAGTGAAAAACTGAGTTTTTAGTGAAAAACTGAGTTTTTAGTGAAAAACTGAGTTTTTAGTGAAAAACTGAATTTTTAGTGAAAAACTGAGTTTTTAGTGAAAAAACTGAGTTTTTAGTGAAAAAACTGAGTTTTTAGTGAAAAATTGAGTTTTTAGTGAAAAATTGAGTTTTTAGTGAAAAATTGAGTTTTTAGTGAAAAACTGAGTTTTTAGTGAAAAACTGAGTTTTTAGTGAAAAACTGAGTTTTTAGTAAAAAAACTGAGTTTTTAGTAAAAAAACTGAGTTTTTAGTAAAAAAACTGAGTTTTTAGTGAAAAACTGAGTTTTTAGTGAAAAACTGAGTTTTTAGTGAAAAACTGAGTTTTTAGTGAAAAACTGAGTTTTTAGTGAAAAACTGAGTTTTTAGTGAAAAACTGAGTTTTTAGTGAAAAACTGAGTTTTTAGTGAAAAACTGAGTTTTTAGTGAAAAACTGAGTTTTTAGTGAAAAATTGAGTTTTTAGTAAAAAACTGAGTTTTTAGTAAAAAAACTGAGTTTTTAGTAAAAAAACTGAGTTTTTAGTGAAAAACTGAGTTTTTAGTGAAAAACTGAGTTTTTAGTGAAAAACTGAGTTTTTAGTGAAAGCTGAGTTTTTAGTGAAAGCTGAGCTTTTAGTGAAAAACTGAGTTTTTAGTGAAAAACTGAGTTTTTTGTGAAAAACTGAGTTTTTTGTGAAAAACTGAGTTTTTTGTGAAAAACTGAGTTTTTTGTGAAAAACTGAGTTTTTTGTGAAAAACTGAGTTTTTAGAGAAAAACTGAGTTTTTAGTGAAAAACTGAGTTTTTAGTGAAAAACTGAGTTTTTAGTGAAAAACTGAGTTTTTAGTGAAAAACTGAGTTTTTGGTGAAAAACTGAGTTTTTGGTGAAAAACTGAGTTTTTGGTGAAAAACTGAGCTTTTAGTGAAAAACTGAGTTTATAGTGAAAAACTGAGTTTTTAGTGAAAAACTGAGTTTTTAGTGAAAAACTGAGCTTTTAGTGAAAAACTGAGCTTTTAGTGAAAAACTGAGTTTTAGTGAAAACCTAAATTTTTAGTAAAAAACTGAATTTTTGGTGAAAAACTGAATTTTTGGAGCAAACCAAGTTTTTTTGTAAAAAACTAAATTTTTAGTAAAAACCCAAGTTTTTAGTGAAAAACCCAAGTTTTTAATGAAAAACTAAGTTTTTAATGACGAACAGAGTATTCGTGAAAAACCGAGGATTTCCGTGAAAAAATTGGTTTTTAGTGAAAAACTAAGTTTTTGGTGAAAAGCTAAGTTTTTAGTGAAAAACTAAGTTTATAGTGGAAAGCTAAGTTTTTAGTGGAAAACTAAGTTTTTAGCGAAAATCTGAAGATCTGTTGAAAACAGTTTTTGGTGAAAAACTGAGTTCCTAGTGTAAAACTAATGTTTTATTGAAGACTGAAGTTTTTCGAGGTGAACAGCTGAAGTTTTATTGAAAAGTTTTACTGAAAACAGATTTGAAAAACTGAGGTTTTGGTGAAAATAGAATCTAAAGTGAAAAACTAAGTATTTAGCGAAAACCCGATGTTTTATTAAAAAACTGAATTTTTGTTGAAAACATATTTTGATGAATCAGATTTTGGCCAAATAATCAAGTTTTTTGTGAAAAAAAAATAGCTTTTAGTGAAAAGATACGTTTTTGGTAAATGGAATCATATACCAAAAGTAACAAAATTTTATGGCGAAAACTATTAAACTGGTGATTTTGATTAAAAATCTTAATTTTAGTGAAAAAATAAATTTTAAAAAGTTTTATTTCAGAAAAAAAGTGGGCCGAGTTTTACAGTTATCTGTAAGAGAAGAAAATTCAACTTAGTTTTGAAATTTGTATGAAATTTTCAAACTTATGTAAAATGTTTTCACTTAGTGGGGACGATAAAACTGTTCCACAGTCCTTAGTATGTCTCACAAAAATCACAATATTATAAAAAAGACAATGAATTTGAATGAATAAATAGTTACTAGATAGAACAAATCTTATCCCTATCCCAATTAATAAACATAAAGTTATAAATGTTTAAACATTTTTTGAGAAGAAACGTAAATTTTTCATTTTCTTAATCTTACTTAATTTGATATAACTTGAAGTTAACGGTAACATGCTTTACTTTACATTGGCAGACTTTTCATCTACTTAAAAAAAAAAGTCCTCAAAGAATATTCGTAATTCATGCAGACATTTTCCAATACAATTAAGAAACCTTACTCAAGACACACCGAAATTTGCTAATTATATAAAAGCTAGTTGTTTTACACTTACAAACATGTGGGTTCTTAATCTAGACCAAATAAACATCATCATCACCACCATCAACAGTATTGGTATCATTTAATGGTTTTTAAGTTTATTCACATTTACGAAAAGCGTATTCGTGGAAACCGGTTAAAGGACAAGAACCCATCATAATTAACAACGCAAAACAAACAAACAACAGCAGACGGACAGACGGAAAGACACATGCAGACATTTCCTAACCACAACATCTATTACAGTTATCTAGCAGACACCCAACAAGACCGCACTAACAGTACAACCTACCATCTAACTAACTACTCATGCGATACAAGAATCTGCTCTTATTTTGTTTTTATGCTAAACAAACAAAATTATTTAAAATAAACACTCCAAATGAGAGCAGCACACAAGCAACAAAAACAAAGATAGATTAATAGATTTCATAGCTACGCGCCTACAATACAATGTGTTTAGCAGCCATTCATACGTACTCCAAGTCACCAGAACAGAAACACACAAAAAACATTCCAAATATGTATGTATGTAGTAAAATTTAAGCTCCCACTACCCTAAAGCATTTCTTTTTTTCATCATTTAGGTTAGATTGTGTTAGGTCATGTGTCGTTTTCATAAGCCTAATATCAAGGTGATTCTTTTCTATTCTGCTGCTACTGCTGTTTTTTTCTTTTCATTCCTCATATTATTTCATTGTTCATTTATATGTACAGAATAGTTAGGTCCCTGCACAGCTTAGCATATTGCTAAGCTTTTGAAATTCATTCAAATACTACTGCATATGTTGGCATAAACTGCCCTTATAAACGTTATTATTCCCAGCAAGAGTAAAAACAAGAAAATTCAAATTTGTAACAGCAACAGCAAAAAAAAACGAATTAAAAATCAACAACAACAATAATAACAAACGAACTCATACATCCTTACAAGTATGTATGTATGTATGTATATATTGTCTACGAAACGGTCACACGAGACGAGTTCAGTGTGTCAATTAAATTTTGCCGTATCGTATTTTCCTTATTTTAGAGAAGGATATTTTCTCACTTTACTCTCTCTATTTTGTTTTAAACTCCATCTCTCTAGCTTTAACTACAATAGGTATTTTATCTCTCGGTATTTAAGGATTCGGCGTTAAGAAATACTCTATATTTATACACTCTATTGCTGAAACAAGAGATAGAGAGTGAGAGTTTGAAACTTGGTTTTTATTTAAATTGATACTTAGTAGTACATTTTTTATAAGAAAAGCTTTCTTCCACTCATAGGTTGAAAACGCCATTTTTTAAATCTGCGTATTTTTGGCGCAAATCTATGGCATAGTCATGTTAGAACTTTTAGAGCTTTCGACGAAAATGTTATTATAACATTTATAACATTAACATTGAAGCAGTTTGAAATATAATATAACTAGAATGTTATTTTCATTTATAACAATTAAGAGTGTGGAATTCGGCTATGCTGAAAGTTACCCACCACCAAAGCATGTGGTTAGTCGTAATTGATCTGGTATATGTTTATGGACTTATTTCATATCATATATGTACATACATACATAGTATGTACATATGTATTCAAAAACTTTTTCAGACTAAATCTATTTGGTCCATTTTTGACCGCACTTCAGAATCATGAGTTTGCTGTCTGTGTTTTGTTATTTTTTTATATGTTAAAGATTAAAGAAAAAATCGTATTTCTAGAGTTGAGGGTAGTGTACTAAGCATTTTACTACCACAACACTGAAACTTGGCAAATTTTTTTCACAATTTTTTTAAATCGAAAGGATTTGTCCGATTGTCGAGTTTATGTTTTAAATTTGAACCACATGCATTGGTCCCTAAAGTAGTAGTAAGTAAAATAGTAAGGGGACCTTGACATTCGGTAAGAGAAAAATTCCAAAAAACTCAAATTAAAAAAAGTGTAGACTTTATGATATCAGAGATATTTGATCTATCTGTGTGTCTATCTATCTATCTATCTATCTATCTATCTATCTATCTATCTATCTATCTATCTATCTATCTATCTATCTATCTATCTATCTATCCATCTATCTATCTATCTATCTATCTATCTATCTATCTATCTATCTATCTATCTATCTATCTATCTATCTATCTATCTATCTCTCTATCTATCTATCTATCTATCTATCTATCTATCTACTATCTATCTATCTATCTATCTATCATCTATCTATCTATCTATCTATCTATCTATCTATCTATCTATCTATCTATCTATCTATCTATCTATCTATCTATCTATCTATCTATCTATCTATCTATCTATCTATCTCTCTATCTATCTATCTATCTATCTATCTATCTATCTATCTATCTATCTATCTATCTATCTATCTATCTATCTATCTATCTATCTATCTATCTATCTATCTATCTATCTATCTATCTATCTATCTATCTATCTATCTATCTATCTATCTATCTATCTATCTATCTATCTATCTATCTATCTATCTATCTATCTATCTATCTATCTATCTATCTATCTATCTATCTATCTATCTATCTATCTATCATCTATCTATCTATCTATCTATCTATCTATCTATCTATCTATCTATCTATCTATCTATCTATCTATCTATCTATCTATCTATCTTCTATCTCTATCTATCTATCTATCTATCTATCTATCTATCTATCTATCTATCTATCTATCTATCTATCTATCTATCTATCTATCTATCTATCTATCTATCTATCTATCTATCTATCTATCTATCTATCTATCTATCTATCTATCTATCTATCTATCTATCTATCTATCTATCTATCTATCTATCTATCTCTCTATCTATATCTATCTATCTCTCTCTCTATCTATCTATCTATCTATCTATCATCTACCGAGCCATATACTATCTATCATCTACTAGTCTACATCTATACTAACTATCTATCACATAGCTATCAGCGATCGATATCTATTAGCATATAATCGACTAATCTATCTATCTATATCGAGATTTTCTCGATCATTATCTATCTATCTAATCAATCTAAGCGTGATATCTAGATAGCTATACGAGCTATCTATTATCTATCTATATTATATCTATTATCATCATATCTATTCTTTTTATTTTTATCGTTTTTTTATATTAAGGTGATATGTACCTGAAATAGTTTCTCATTCACAGTAACAATTCAGGCTTAATTTTACTTTTAGCAATATATAAAACCCATTTACAAAAATATCGAATATCTGTATATTATACACCCTTACAAGAAATTCTTCGAATAAGAAATGTTTATTTTTTTTACAAATAAAAATTCTCAGATAATTTACCCCTATAAGGAAATATCTAGCACACAAACCATAGTAACGCCAACATTATTCGAAGTTAAAGTTGGGTGAGTACTTTAGAAGTTACTTCAGTAATTCTTTTATTAGACTTTTAAGGACGAATTTATATCGATAAATTCTACGAATGACATTGAGTGAAATGAACAGTATATTTTGAAAGGTCAAACATTCGTTTTCCTAATGCAAGGGAGAAATATTAGAAGATATGTATGAAACAATAAAATTTTTCATAATGTTTCTGAATTTTATAAGTGATGCTTAAATGAAAATCTCACTTTATTAAAAATATATTTTTATTTATTAAAAAATAATATAATTGTATATACATAGTCACATTTAAACCTAATAAAATTGTATTTTACCACTAAAATTACATAAATAATATTAATTGCACCCTCAATCTTCCTCATCACCATCATTATCGTCACTTAAAACCTTTTCGGGATCATTGGAATTTATATATTTTTCCACCATTAATTCCCTTTGTATGCGACGTTCCTGGACACGTACACACTTAGGACAAATCATATTTTTTCGCGTCATACAAACACGATGATATATAGAATTACATTTATCACATATAATACAGCCATCATCGAATGGAAATATTACTTCATTATTGCTGCAAATTTCACAGATATATGCTTTAGCAGTGCACATCGAACAATTGCGTATATGTTTGTCGAAACAATTGTAAACTTTATGTAAATGTTCGCCTAATGTACCGTTTTCAGCCTGTTCCAGATCATTAATCGAATAGAATTCATTTGATTGTATGAGATGTCGACGGAAACCTATAGGAAGGAGTAAAGAGGTGATATGATAAATTAAACTGATTTTATTAAGAATAGTTTTACATTCTAATCGTTCACTTTTTAATATTCTGTTCTTAGTATTTGGCCTTTCACTAGATTTTTGTTGTTTTAAAAGGGGAACATTTTTTTGTTAAGAGAACTGTAAGACATTACTTTTATTTTTCAATTTTTATTTCTTCACATTTTTATCTCTTTTTGCAAGTTCACTAATTCACTAATTTTCAAACTTTTAAATTATATAAAATTAAAAAACGAATCATGAAAGAAGTTAAATTTTTATATTTTTTCGAGGACTACTATTTTAATCTTCTGGGTTTTCTATTTTTGGCCTGTAAAAGTAAGTCGTCCAATATGTGACCTATTGTTTCAGCTAGCAGATCGCCCAATATGGAAACAGATGATTGTAAGGTAGTAGGGATAGTTCATAGTTTCTATATCATCCTATAACCCATCTGACTTGGGTCTAACAAATTCAATATAATTGATTTTTGTTCCATAAAGTATTGAATTTTAGATCGAACATAAAACGGATAAAACAGCTTTTCATTAAACCAATACAATGACAATCCTTAGTGTAAAGTTTTTTTTTACAAATTCGTTTGTTTTATAGAAATAAGTAGAAATTCAATTGACTCTTAAATCTTCATTTAAAACGCAATAAGAAGAATATATTACTAATTTAATCATATTCCTTGGTCATTAATTACCAAGAAGTATATTCACATTGAAGATAAGAATATTTCATTAAAAAAAATTTAAAATACAAAAATGTAATTGGCATGCTTCTTCTACAATACCCACTCCCTGCTTAAATTTCTTAGACTTTTCAATAAATACAAAACTTAGAATAAAACTGACTTACCAATTTGCGTTTCCAGTAACTTTTCCTCAACGGCCTGGCGACATTCAGACAAATATTTACGCATATATACCAAATTCTGTCGCAATTTTTTCAAGGAGGCTAATTTCTCCAAGAAAACAAACAACTTGGGATTAGCATCTTCAAGTCTTATTAAGGGTTTATCGAGAAATAGTTGAATTTCCTGTAAAGCTGAACGAGACACTTTGCGTGGAACAAAATCCCAATTGTGAACAACACGGGCGGGAATAATACACGAATCATTCCAATGACAAGAGGGACAATAGTATAAACCCGTGTAATCACATAAGCGAGGTTCAATCCAGGAATTTTCTGGAAAAAAAAAGAAAAAGATACTTAGTTAATTGGCTAAAATATTAAAAAAAAACACATAGAAAGCATGAATGTCAAATACCATGTTTGGTTATTTTGCCAAAACATTATGTGGTGTAGTAGGGAGCTAAATTAACATGAAATTAAACAAAAAAACATACAAATGAAGACACAACAATTATTATTTTCCATCTACTTACTAAAGTTTAATAAAGTGCGACATTCGGTGCACTTATATCGTTGGGCCGCTAAACCGATTTCCGGGCAAATGTCTAAAATAGGATATTGCCTTTCGGATGCTATAACATGAGCACATACTCTCACCACACTGTCTAGGCATTTCTGATGTACCATATAACGACAATCGGAGCACTGATAGGAAGCCTGTACTACACTCCAAATTATGCCCGTACAATGATCACAATAATTGCGTGCTGTGGGTAGGGGCAAACCTTTGCCCACCCCTTTCTGACGAGCCGCAAAGTGATGACCCACTACCGTTTTTACCGAAGGACCCACTTCCACCTTATCATTTTTGGCCTCCAACAATTCTTCCAAAGAATAGCGCAAATCTACTAAATGCCTAACCAACCAACGACGTTCTTCACTATTTTCTTCGGATATTAAGACCAAGTCTTTACAATGATTTATGGCCTCCATAAGATCTTGTTCACTAGCATCGGAGGTAAATATCAAACGCCATTGTTCTTTGATCAATGACGCTGGTATGGGTAAAGATTTTTCACTTATTAAAACTGCTCCCGTCGAACTGCTGTCCATTTCATTAAAACTATTAAGAGATTCGGTGGTGGAATCTGTGGAAGTTGTATCATTTTGTCCTTGAAATCCTACATTAATGGGTATATAACTGGAGGCTACCGATGCTGTGTCACTGATAAAATTCGTAACCGCACCCGGTATACTAGCTAAGCTATCACGCAAAGAATTCATTTTAACATAATTATGTACACAAACACAGATATTACTAATCTATTTTTAGAATATTTCAAACACTTTTTTAAAAAAACAAAACAATAATTTGCGATGAAAATATAAACAATTTTTGACGAGATTTTAATTAAAAATGCATTAAACAGCTGTCTAAAAAATAGTCAATGTCATATCATTCTCTCTCTTTCCATACATTCTTTGTTTATCATTTGTCACAAAAAGTGTTACCATATTGAAAAAGTACCAAAATAATAAACATATCTTAACATTGATTATATTTCTTTTATTTTAAGAAATTATATTATTTAATACGATTTCATAGTTTTGATTTTAATTACAATACTGTAAATTTTTATGTAAATTCAAAATTAGTTTACAGTTTTTTCATACATACTTTGTATACAACTGAGCAAAATAAGAGTTTGTTTATTTACATCAAAAATAGTGCAACAAATTATTTAAAATCTTGATTACTTAATATTTTCTTTGGTTAACCGTTTATTAATCATAAAACTATTTAAAAATTGTATATTTAAACTATTTTCGTTCTATAATTAAATCGAAGTTCTTTGAATTCATGCCAATTTGTATAGAATTACTTGCTTGTTTTTTAAAATATAACATATTCTCTTTCCAATAAATACTCATTGCCTTAAAATACTGAGTACCCAAATACTCAAACAAATTCCCCAGCCCTAGCTGGCATTTCTCCAATTTTATAAAAACAAAGAAATACAAGATAAACCAGACAGAGAATTAACGCAGTAATTATCAATTTTTCTACAACAACTACATTTTGTTTATAGTTTTTTAATTATTTATTATATTATTTATATTTTAAAGTTCAAATTAATATAAATTGCAAAAGCAACAAAAGTAAGATAGCGAAAAGAAATAAAGAAGATAATTATGACAAGGCTAGTTTATTGACACAAATTTTTTGTTTATCCTTGTAAAGAATTTAATAGTCGCTAATATTTTAATAAAACCTTTATAGCTATCCCAGTTTGTACTATAGGTTTTCTTGATATTAATATATAGTACTTATTTTGATAATATTTTGTCATATTACTGCTCTTTCTTAATTTTGTTTTAATTGTTTAAACTGCGTGTTAAACTTTCCAATTGAATACCATGTAGGTATCTGGCAATCGATAAAACTGATTTCTAAAATGTTCAAAATATTTTGCTTTTTGGTACATATTTTAACATAGCCCCAATACAAATCAATCATCTGAGAATCTTTGGAGTTTAGTAGATGATTAGGAGTGACATCAAATATACAGGCGAAATGCGTCCATTCTGCTTTGTTTTTATCTATAATTATTTGTATCTATCTATATACCTAATATATCTACTTATATATTGTCCCATCTACTTTCAGAAAACATTAGATGCGCCCAGCTTACTGAAACCATCAAAATGTCGGAAATTAAATCCCTAGAACACTCAACTCTAAAAGTTCCCTATGAGATAATTAATAAAAAATTTAGGGTAGCTCAAAAGACAATCGATAGAGAAGTTGATCAAATACAAAATATTTCCCGAGATGTAGAAAAAGCCCTAACCATACATCCTACCGTATCTGATGTTAGTAAAATGGTTGGAAATGTAGTACAGCGCTTGCAGGTTTTAAAACGCAAATCAGAGGAAAGTATTAACGAAGAACTAAATGCTGCCTATGTATGCAAAAAGAAATTGGGACATCTTAAAGGCATTGCCCAACCAGAATCCAGTTCTGATATGGAAATATGGCATGCTTCAATCGATCAATGGAAACGTATGCGTATGGATCGTATGGTCATAGAACACCTACTTAGATTGGGTTACTACGAAACAGCAAATCGTTTATCCAATCATTCGGATATAAGGCATCTAACGAATTTGGATATTTTCCATACCTCACGCGAAGTTGAAGAAGATCTCTTAAGTTTTAAAACTACTAAATGTATTCTATGGTGTATGGATAATAAATCCAAACTAAGAAGAATTAATTCCAACATAGAGTTTAATTTACGTGTACAGGAATTTGTGGAGCTTGTACGCAAAGATTTGAGAACTGAGGCGGTGATACATGCCAGAAAACACTTTCCGGCTTTTGAAAAAACCCAAATTAAGGAAATTTGCGAATGTATGGCTCTATTGGCCTACCAACCGAATACCACCATTGAACCCTATAGAAGTCTATTTGATTATAGTCGTTGGAAGGATTTGGTCTTGAAGTTTCGCAATGAAAATTATCGTTTGTTTCAGATATCATCACAATCTTTACTCAGCATTGCTGTACAGGCAGGCCTATCATCTCTGAAGACACCACAATGTTTCTCAACCAATTGTAAGAATTTAAACTGTCCCGTTTGTCAAGAAGATTTCAATAAGATTGCTACAAATTTGCCATATTCACACTGTGTGCAAAGTCGTTTAATTTGTAGAATAACAGGTTTACCGTTAAATGAACATAATTTACCCATGATGTTACCCAATGGTCAAATCTTTGGTCAGTTGGCCATACCACAAATTACTAAGGAAAATGGTGTGGTTGTTTGCCCCATAACTAATACAAAATTCTCTACACCAAAGATTGAGAAAGTTTTCGTAATGTAAGTGTCGTTTAAATAAAAAAAAAATTGTCGTCTTTGAACTATACAAGATCAAAACTATATACGTATATATTTTTTTAATGTAAACTGGATTTTCAAATATTTTTTTCATTTTTTTCTATAATTCTTGTAAACGAAAATTAATCTTTGTTTTAAAACATGTTTTTAAACATAATCAGCTAAATATCTTTTAAACAAGTAAAGTATAATAAATTTTCCTAATATAAAAACTAATTCTTGTTTTATTGCACTCACAACATTGTAGATACGTTAAATTTTAAATTATTTACATAATTATTTTTTATTTAAATATATATAACACATTTATACATACATTTCTACAGCTAAAACTAAAGATCATATTTTTTATGATTGATTATTTCCATACTTTTGTTTTTTATGGAATTTTCTGGGATTAATACCGTAAGCCTTTAAACGTTCATCACTTATATCTTTACCATCTCCTTTAGAATTCTGTTTCGGTTTACCATTAAATGGCTTTTTGTTTTGGAATTTAGATTTGAATTTATCATTGGTGCTAAATTTGCCATTAAAGGTTTTTGTTTTGGGTATATTTTTACGCAAAGGAGGCAAGGAACCAACCCCTTCCGTAGAATTATTCAATTGTTTAGAGCCTTTAGCAAATGGATTGTTCTTGGCAGCAGGTTTGTTAGCGTTTGGTGCATTATTTGCTTTTTGAGAATTTTTATTAAAGTTTTTAGTTTCAACATTATTCGTTTGTTTGTTTGTAGCAACACCTTTATTAAATGGATTGTTAACTTTTTCATTGTCTTTATTAGAGTTTGTATTGGCAGTACTAGTAGTTGATATTTGAGGACCCTCACTGTTTGCCGCACTATTTTGATTCTGGCTTTGTGGTTTCTTTTTATTTTTCTTCTTTTTCTTTTTAGCCGCCTCTGTGGCCGTTTCTGCTGGCTGTTGGCCATTAATTGTTTCATTAAGTTTGGTTTTATCTTCAATTTTAGCTTTTTTGGCTACAGTTTCATCCGCATTTGAGGTATTTTCTTCTTTAATGCCAACATTTGTTTGGGTTTCCTCACCGGCGGAAGTTTGTGCAGCAGCTTGTGCATTTTGAGCTTTACGCTTTCTCCTTTTCTTGGCCTTTTTAGATTCTCCCGGCTGATTGTCTGCAGTAGTATTTGCTGCAGCAGTTTCAGCATTTGATGTAGTTGGTTCTTTTGTTCGTTCAGGTTCAGTTTCCTCATTTTCATTATCAGATCTATATTAAAAAAAAAAGTTTATATTATAAAAAAAAAATTAAACTTATTAATCTAATTACCCCTCTCCATATAAACTTTTAAATATTTTGCGTTTTAGTTCCTCATTTTTAGCTTTAAGTTTATAAAGTCTTTGTTCTTTCTTCTCCACTTGATCGGGACGTATTTGTATGGCTTTCTTAAGACTGGCCCATTGATTAAGTTCTTTATTTTTAGCCAACAGTATCTAAAAATAAATGTAAATGTGAAATTACTTTATATATGATTAAATTAATTCAAATCTCACCTCTTCTATAGTTAAACCAAAATCATTTGGTGTAGTTTCCACATACTTAAAACGACAGGGTGTATCTCCTATAATATCCTCACAATCGAGCTTGTAGTATTCATCTATATACTCTCCATAGGTCTTCTCATCCTCAGGATCGAATACCGGCTTTTCCGCTTTAATGATTTCCATAAAACGATCTCGTCTACCTTTGCGACCGCCTCTACGTTTTCTGGTATTTTCTATGAGCTCCTTTTGTAATTCTTCTTTTGCCTTACTGGGATCATAATCACAATCCATAATAAAATCTTCATCTTCACAATGAGGATCATTGTTGTCTTCATAATCATAACCTCCCGTATCACCATCATTATGTGGATCATAATTATCCCAATCCTCCACTTTCAATTCGTCTATATCTGAGGGACATTCAGGTTTCTCCTCACCCTCATCCACCTGATAGTATTCATCATTGAAAAGTTCTTGCATTCGGCGATCATGTGCCTCGGGATCAAAATCTTCTTCTAAGTCGTCATCCTTAAAGCCTAACTCATCATTGCCTGTGACCATTTTTAATTTTTCAATTTTTTCCTGTATCTCTTTACGTTTCATTTCCTTTACCATTTCCAGCTCTTTCATTTTTTGCTCTTTTTCTTGCAGTTTACGTTCTTTAGTCTCTTGTCTTTTCTTCTTACGCTTCTCATCTGCCACTCTCAGCGAACTTTCAATGGTACGTGGATAACGTTTAATGAATTCTTGATCTGGTTCTTCATATCGGAAATTGAATTTCTGTTCAAATTCCGCCTGTTTTTCCAATTCTTCTTCATCCTCCGACAGGGGAGCATTATCGCCTACAATTTCTTCATAAGTGGGTATTTCATTGTAGTTACTGGCCTCTGTGTAGCCTTTGTTAAGCACATAATCTCTGAGAAACTTTTCACTAGAAGGTAATTTATCATTACTCCAGTATTTTTTCAAAGGCTCTAGTTTTTCTTTAACCTCCTCTTGTATAGTATCCTTTTTGCCTGCTAACCATTTAAGATAATCTTCCTCTTCTTTATCTTTCTCTGCTTTGGTTTTTTCACGTTTTTTGAAAATTCCACCAAATTCTTCTTCCTCTGAATCATCTTCTTGATTCATGACTTTTTTGAATTCAGCTTTTAGACGGCGTTCTTCTTCTACCACTGTGGGTGAGAAAGGACGTTGTACAGCTTCTTTTTCCTCATCATCTTCATCGGAATCTGTTCAAAGTATAGCTATTAACAAAATGTTTTATTTCAATTCGTGCTGCCACTTACCATCCACAAATTTACCGCCCTTTTCTAAAATAATCTTTCTTTCATAATCCTTCAAAGTTACTGGCTTAGATTTCTTTTCCTTATTACTCTTGCCTTCTTCTCCAGCGGAATCATCCTCATCATTTTCCTCCTGTTTAAAGAATTTGGTATTTTTATCATAGATAGCAGGATCTTTACTTTTCAACGAAGCCAAGGTTTTTAAAAAATCTTGATCGAACGAAGGATCCAATACTTCATCCTCTTCCGACGAATCTGAATCATCAGAATCAGACTCAGAGACATCTAAACCTTTGTCTTTAACTAAAGAAATACATACAGAATATTAAAAAATTTCTCCTAAAATTAAAAATCATTTTTCACTTACATTTTTGCAATAATTCTTTTTTTCTTAAAGTATTATAACTTTTGGCAAAATTTTCATTTGTTTTTATTTGAAAATTATCCTCTTCCAAATTATCATCACTATCATCAAAAAGATTTCTACTCATTTTGATTTATTTAAAAATATATTTAATATTTTCTCGATAATTTTTAATAAACTTCTGTAGTATTTATTTTCACACGTGTTTGGGTTTTTATTTTGATTACAAATGAACTGAAATTGGAGTAAAGAGAAATGTCAAAGTATGCCAGTATAACCTGTGCAGAGTTGTATATTAAAGAAGGGGAAGTATAGCCAAATCTAATTTCACTAGTCAATTTTATTTTCCATGAAAGAACGAATTTTTAATTAAATTAAATCAAAAATTTTGTTACGAATTCAAAATTTGACTAAGAATTTGAAATTTCACTAAAATTTCGAAATTTCATTATTTATTCTAATCTACTTTATGATTGCTGGTATATTTTACTAGCACAAACAAATTTTCTTCAAAATGTTGACGTGTGGCCATACAGCTTAACGACTTTATCCCCGTTATGTTCAAATAAGCATTTTATTTACGTTCAGCAAAAATTTAAAATTTTATTAATAAACAAATTAAACAAATTTGATACACATACATATTTCAATTTACAAAATGCAACAAAACTTTCATTACCTTAAAACAATTTTTTCAAGAAAATATTTACAATTTGGAATTGGTTGCCGATAAAGATAATTCCATATCAGCCGATGGGTTATTGACAAATTTACGCACAATATCGAATTTAGGATGATTTTTATCACGCAATAAATCGAAAATAACACTTTCACTGGTAGTAACATTGCAACCAGCTGCACGGAAACGTTCCAAAGCCAAATCACGATCTTGTTTCAAACGAGAACACACACAATCGGCTACCAAAGAAACTCTTATGTTGCGTTCCAAAAGATCCATGGCAGTTTGTTCAACACAAATGTGGGACTAAAAAAAGTATTTACAAAACATTAGAGTAATATTATTCATTATTATTATCGTAAAAATACCTCTAAACCATACAGTACAACATCATCAGGTTTGTCGCCAAAAATCTCCTTCATTTTAGCGTCCAATTCCGGTACCAACATACTAAAACGAGTCTTGCTTATGACGGCTTTAGCATGGCTAATATCAATATCCTTAACACTGTGGCCCAAACGTTCGGGATAGTGTTCGGTAACAATCAAAGGTATACCCAATTCTTTGCCAGCTTTAGTCTATTAATTAATAATTTACATATAAATTATTACTTTAGATATAAGATGATATAATCAACGACAGTTACTGGAATATTCTCTTCTACTTACTAATTTATTGGAATTTTGTATAAAATTATCAAATAATGGCATGCCAGGACGAAATTTTTCCTGGATGTCACAGAAAAGAAACAGAGTCTTCTTGGGATTTAAATGACGCAAACGTGAGGCCATTTTTAGTGGAATTTAAAACCAATCGTACGAATGAATATTTTATAATTAAAGGTAACACAAGTACCGGCGATAAGAAACAAAGCAAAATCACAAATTAACTTAAAATGTCAGTATAATGGACTTGTGAATGCCCTATATTTCAATACATTCTAAGGCGAAGATATTGTATTTTTCTAAAGAGATTTCTTAACAATTATAGACAATCTCTGTTTGGAAATACTTTTAAAATCAAATACTAAAATCAATTGATAATAAGTAAATACTTTCTAAAAGTTTAAGAGATATATAACTTAACTTTAAGGAATATAACTTAAGTTAAATAAATTTAATATATATATTATTGTTTATTTCAGTACCGTACTGATGAAATCAACATCCATATGTAAAAACTAATATATTTTTTATAGGGTGCTGTTTACTAACAGCTGTTTGGTTTAGTGCTATAGATTTTTAGTGTAGGGAGGTATGACCATTGGAAAACGCGAATATATTTTCATATTACGCATTATTTTTTGCTTTAGATAGAATAAATTAATATTCACTTAAAATATTTTTATAATTTAATCTAATTTATAATTATTTCAAATTATCATATAAATTTATTAAATTAATTGTATTTACATAGAAAATGTCAATTTTGTCATTGTTTTTCTAATAGTAACATTAACAGATAATGCAGTGTTACTATATAACCTGTTTTATCGACTTAATGTCACAATTGTTTTTGTCTTCTTTCCCTCTTCCAGAAATTTTGACACTGACATTTTAGTATTTTTACTTTTGGTAAAAAGAAATTTTTGTATTCACGTTTTTAAACCGATTTTAACGTGATAAATTTTCAACAAAAATGGTCAGTTGGAGTTCTATTGTACGTCCAGCGGCTCAATTAGCCAAATATCGTACTATTTTGCAAACACCAGCTGTAAAAAATGGTAAGTTTGCAGTGTAATTTTGATGAAAAGTTTGTGCACTGAAATTGACATTACGCAACTTGGAGGAATAAAAGAAAAATAATTTATTTTTTTTTTGTTTTTAATAGCTGTTCAATTGCAATTGCGTCAAATGAGCGGTGGTCACCATCATATGATTGTACAGCCCTCCCGTTTCCAATGGAATAAATTTAAGGATTTATTGCACTTTTATGTGATGTTGGGTGTTTTACCCATTACTGCTCTGGTCATGTACTGCAACATTTTCATTGGTCCAGCTCAATTGCATGAAATTCCAGCCGATTATGAGCCTAAACACTGGGAATACCATAAGGTAATATATTGTTTTGTTATGAAGTTTAAAGTTGTTAAAATTCGAAAAAGGTGGATACAGCCAGATTCTACATAAGATAGATATATAGATCAAAGAACCGTTAATCCGCTTTGAGAACATTTTCGACATTTAATGACGATAAAATGGGGTTGTCATAGAATCCAATCATTGTGGAAATATTATTTGAAAAAACATACATTGGGATACAGAAATCCGATTTTGTCCGTTTTTTTTGGATATAGAATTCTATTTTTTATCGCACAAAAAAGCAATAACATAAGATTTTATGAGGCATATGTATTTTTTTGTTCTGTCAATCATTGGATTCTATGACAACCCCAACTAATTATTTTTTCTTATAGAATCTTAACTTCTTCCTTATGTTTCTGGTACAACAGCGACATAAATCTAGTAACTAATATATTCTAATTTTAATTCTTGATTATGTCTTCCTTTGCAGCACCCAATTTCTCGCTTCATTGCCCGCTACATGTTCCCTAGTCCACAACAGGAATATGAGAAAAACTTACATTTCCTTTATGAAGAAGATGAGAAAGCTCAAATCAGGTACATAAAAATCGAATTAATAAATCATATAACAAATTTATTCATCTGCTGTTAATTCACCCATTGAACATAAATTCTGTGACAAATACATATTTAAAAATGCATGTCCTTTCTCCTTATTGTCACACAGAATAGCATGTATTTATGGGTGAATTAAAACAACAAACTGCCTACCAACCGTTCTTATTTAAAACGTCATAACATTGGCTTAATTAGTCCATTGATTCCATTTAATAGTTTATTCTAAAACCTAATTAACTCAAATTTATTTGCAGACTACTTGAAGAGAAAATTCGTGCTAAAATGTCCGAACGTAACGATTACCAAGCCTACTACTACAGGCCCGTCATTGCCAAATATCACAGAATTTCCAAGGAAGCTGCTGATGAATTGGAAGATTTGCGTGGTGATTAAACTCTCAGCAATTAATATATGGGTCGCTACGATTCAATGAAATTACATTATCTTTAGTTTAATTAAAGTGCAGAAACAACTATTGTTGAAAAATAAATAAAACTTGAAACTAAAAAAGTATAGGTATTTGTTTTTTAATAATTTAATAATATGTTATTATTAATTAAATGCCTTATGTAAATATAAATTAGAAAGAAAAAAATAATGTTGACTTTTTGGTTAAATATTTTTAAGAGAATATGGTGGTGAGTGACACATAAAATCGATTTATCCCCAGGCTTGGTTTTTACAGTAATATAAAACCAATTTACCATTAGTACCGTGACAATCATATAAATTCTTAATAATTTGATCGGGAGCTGGCGCAAAAGTTTGATTAACATATAAAAACTGCAATAAATAATTTAGATATAAACATTGGTCAGCAAAAAATAAAACTTTACTTACAATTTGTTCCGAGGGATCTAATTTCAAATATTTGTGTATAAACTTTTGTATCCAGCTAACGGTTTTGTAGGGGTCTACCGTCCAAGTGCGTTTCTTGATAATGGGTACATTGCCCGTAGCATTTAGGAGTATACAAACTAGATAAAAAATCCTTAAAGTTAATAATTTAATTTTGTTTAGAATAAACTGTTTACTGACTTTTATTATCCTTTTCTTTATCTGCTGCAGTTTGTGAAGTTTCGTTTTCATTATCAGCCATTTTGGTAAAATTAATTGAAGTTGTTTATTTATAGGTTGAAATTTTGTGTAAATAATTTATTTCTCACTTTTTACAATAATAATAAAAAAAAACTTCAGCTGACAGCTTTTTTTTGTTTATTTTCAATGACATTTAAATCGATAAAGCAGTTTAATTAAATAATGTCACAAAATTTGCAAGGTTTAACAGCTATAAAGTATTGGCAACACTGTTTATAATAAATGTCATTGCTGGTTTTGCTTTGTAGCTTCTTTCTTTGTGATTTCTGCTAGAAATCTTGCTGGCGTGTTGCTGTCATTTTTTGTGAAAAATTATTAAATTTACCCATAAATAACTAATTAAAATTAATAAAATGTATAGTGGAGAAGAGTTTGCGACTACGGTTAGTTAATTTTGTGGAAAAAACCTTATATTGTTCAATATTTGCCGCAGAATTTGTAAAAGCAAAATGTTTGCAAAAAAAATCACATACACAAACATAACCTAAAAAAAATATTTTGAGCCTCCTTTTTCACACACACATTTATCTTGTTTCTTTTTTCTATACATGTTTTAGGAGTATTATGATGAGTATGCCCATACTGGTGATCCACAATTGGATTTGGAATATGAACGCAACTACTATCGCATGCCCGATAATGTCAAATATTTCCTCATCAACTTTTGCCAGGCTATTAAGGAGGGTGTGTTGTTTGACATCCAGAATATGTATGAGAACACTTTTCCACAAATAAGTGATCATCATTTTGATAAGAGTGCTTGGCCTGATGAGGAAGAAGTTGCTTCCTTGGTCGACAACGACAAGGTGTTCTTAATTTTGTACAAAGAATTGTACTATCGTCATATTCATGCCCGCATTCCCGGTGGTCCCAAATTGGAACAACGCATTCATTCTTTCTTCAACTATTGTGATTTCTTCAATTTAATAATCTCCTCCCAGAGCCCAGTATTGTTGGAATTGCCCGACATTTGGTTGTGGGAATTGGTTGATGAATTTGTTTATCAGTTCCAAAACTTTGCTCAATACAGGTAAATGGTTTTGTTTATGATTACAACCCACTCTTTATACATTTAATTATTATTTGTTTCTTCTTTCGCAGAGCTCGTTTGACTGATAAGACCCAAGAGGAAATTCATCAATTGTGTGTTAATCACAGTAATGTCTGGAGTATTTTATGTATTCTCAATGTTCTCCATTCTTTGGTTGACATCTCCAATATCAAAAAACAATTGGAAGCCATTTCTCAGGGCAACGATCCCCAAACTGTTGCTGGTGAATTTGGTGAATTGTCCTTCTACAAAATGTTGGGCTATTTCTCTTTGGTTGGCTTATTGCGTGTACACTCTTTGTTGGGTGATTATTATCAGGCCATTAAAGTTTTGGAACCCATAGAAATCCACAAAAAATCAACCTACTCTCATATTCCTGCTTGTCAGATTTCCACCTCGTACTATGTAGGTTTTGCCTACATGATGATGCGTCGTTATGCTGATGCCATCCGCACCTTCTCCGATATTCTTTTGTACATTCAACGCACAAAACAATTGTACAGCACTCGTTCCTATCAAAACGATCAAATCAACAAACAAGCCGAACAAATGTACCATTTGTTAGCCATCTGCTTGGTCTTGCATCCCCAGTGCATCGATGAATCCATCCAACAGGTGTTGCGCGAAAAGAACTATCACGATGCCATGTTTAAAATGCAATGTGGTGATTTGGACGTATTTAAATCATTCTTTTTGTTCGCCTGTCCCCGTTTCGTCAGTCCTTGTCCTCCAGCTGCTGATGCTCCCATGGAGGATTATGTTAAAGATCCCATGGAACATCAATTGCAAGTATTCATGGATGAAGTTAGACAACAAGCTGATTTACCCACCACCCGCTCTTATTTGAAACTTTACACCACCTTGCCATTGGCTAAGTTAGCTTCGTTCATCGATTCCAATGCCAGTGAGGATGATGTTTCTAAATTGTTGATCCGTTTATTGTGCTTCAAACATAAGATGCGTAATTTGGTTTGGACTAAGGGTTCCAGTGGTTTAGAGGGTAAATTCAAGTCTGGTTCAGAGGTAATTTGGATTTTTTTTTATGTTTTTTGTAACATTTTATATTTAATTATTGTTTTGTTTTCAGTTGGATTTCTATATTGATGATGACATGATTCATATTGCCGACACTAAGGTATCACATCGTTATGGCGATTTCTTCGTACGCAAAATTTTGAAATTCAACGATTTAAATCGCAAATTGAAAAATATTAACATTTAAATTATTATTTTAATCTAATATATAAACAACTTGATTTTGTATCGTATATAACTTGTAGTTTAACAAACTTTTGTGACTTTTTCCCATTATAAGAAGATGTAATTAAAGAAATAAAAAGATAAGGCATTTATTTAAATGCTTTGAAAAAGTCTAAATTGTTGCTCTGGTGTTTGAATTTTATTGGAAAGAGTGTGAACTAATAGGTTTATGATCATGGGGTTTATTTTACTCTTTAACTTGATTTTAGCTAAACTATATATCAATATATAGTCGAAAGCATCTCTCTAGTCTTTAACAATTTCTACAAAAACTTTTTAATTTTTAAACAACTTCTATAAAAACCTAATTTTTAAATTTTAAAATCTTAATTTTTAAAGAATTTCTATAAAACTTAAAAATTTTCAAACAATTTCTATAAAAACTTTAATATTGAAATTTTTTAAAAAGTTTATCTTCTATTAAAACACTTTAGCTAATTTTATAAATATTTGTTTATTTTTTATTATATTTTTTTTTTTTATTTTTTGTTAATATAACATTTAAAAAACATTTATATTACAAAGTTTAAAACTTTTCTTATTTATTTTTTGTTTTTGGTGTGCGTTGTTAACTTCTATTTTTATTTTTCTTTCTTGAATTATAAAAATGTTTCGAAATAAATTTGTGTGTGTGTGTGTATAGTTTAGTGCAAAATGTTTCATTTGTTATGATTTAAAGTTTTCTTAATTTTGATATTTGCCAAATAAAATAAAATTTTAAAGTCTTAAAAGCTAAAAAAAGATGTACGTACATATTCTGTTTACTTAATTTGGAACATTAAAATCATTTATTTTTATGATATAGGTGGACATATTTGTGTAACACTTTTTCACACCAGTTATGTAAGGAGTTATAATAGTTTGTTTAGTTTTTGTTTTAAATTGTGACATTAGATTTAGTTATGAAATTATGAAGATTTTTTATTTTAAATATTTAGTTTACAATGACAGTTTAAAATCATTTTGTTGTTTAAATTCTTTACTTTTTTCATTTTGTTGGTAATTCTTTGGTAAATAAATATTTTTTAAAATTTTAATTATCAAATATACAACAAAAAATATGGTTTTTTAGTTCAATTAAATTGTTGGGTTTTTATATAAAAATTAGTACAATTGATTACATAGTTAAATAATAATATGAAAATATACAAAAAAAAACATTAGACTTATAAAACTAAAATATTTTTAAATGGTTACACAAAACACCTTAGGTAATAACGAAATAAAAATGTAGAATAAGTAAAATAATGTGATGACCTATGTTAATTTTTTTTAAACAACTAAATACACTAAAAATTGTTTACATAAAATTTTAGAATATTATCTCTTCTTGTAGACTTTTAGTTTAAGTTTTAATTAAAATTTATTATGATTAAGTGTGGAAATTGTTTAAACAATCAGTATTGCCGTGATTATGCTGGTTAATTAATCTGGTAGTTGTTATTATTTAGCCAATAGGCGTTGGACGTTGATTGATATCGACCAGATAAATGTCTCGGTGATTTTGTAAAACAAAATCTACAAACGCATTAATCGGTGCAATTTCATCGAGTGAGGTTGTATTTTTACCAGACCATAAAAAGTTTGGTCCAAACACTATGGCCAAATTGGATGAAGTCATTTTATTAAGATCTTCACATTCCATAACCTGTTAATGAAGGAAGTTCATTAGTATTAATTATTTTTTCTATAAAAACTTTTAAATTTTGAAACAATTTTTATAGAAAACTTTTCAATTTTTAAAAAATTTCTGTATACAAATTTTAATTTTAAAAATAATTTCTATAAAAACTTTTCAATTTTGAAATAATTTCTATTTATTCAATATTTGAAAAATTTTCAATAAAAACTTTTCAATTTTGAAATAAATTTTTCTTATACATTTTGAAACATAAATATAAAAATTTTTCAAATTGAAACAATTCCTATAAAATTTGGAAACTAATCTATCCAATATTGAAAAATTTTCCATAAAAAATATAAATATTGGAAAACTTTTATATTAAAACATTTTCTATAAAAACTTAACAACACTGAACAAATTTCTTTATATTGAAAATCCATATAAAAACTATTGGAAACAATACTTACTCTTACTAAAAATTCTACAATATATTTAAATAATTCATAGTTTTCTTCAGGTAATCTTTCGCGTATTAACATAGTTACATTGCGGGATCTATCCTCTTTGGGCCATTCTAAAATTATACAAGATTGAAAGTATCTGTCCATTATTTCTTATTATTATTTTTTTTTTGCTACTTACCCAAAAAACTAGTTATCTCATCATATAATTCAAATGTTAATAACGGTTCCGAAAGATCTCTAAGAAAACTTTTTAATAGACCAGCTATAACATGTACATTAACATCTTTAAGATCAACATCTTCACCGCGATTAACACGATCTTTGAGGGCTATAATTTCACTATGATTGCCAGAACGACGGAATATACCCTCTGTATCGATCATACCGGTAATGGAGAGCGAGTCAACACATTTGCGTACAATCGGTGGAATGGAATTTAAACATGGACTATTAGTAACTATAAATTTAAGGGTTACCCCAAATTGTGTTGTTTTTGCCATGTGTGAAGTACTGATATTGTTATTACTGCTGGCAGCGTATTTGCGATTATGATTTAGACGATCATCTAGATCACATATATTATCAGGTAGCTTAAGCTTTGATAGGCCCAAAGCTTGACGTAGTTCATCTAAACTGGATATGTAGACCAACTTTTTGCGAAACTTTTCACTGATGAAGGGACTAAAGAAGTTCCATATGACACGTATAAACCAGGTGGGATGAACCACATAGAGATTTTTTAGATTTTTACGAAAATTTCGATCAAGTTCTTTATATGAATTCCATAGAAATTGTGCAGATGGTTTATTGTCCTCCTTTAGGCCTTGATGGAAATACACTAATATATAATCGTTTTCAACAAAAGGTTCGATTTCTTTAATAACATCTCTAAAACAAAAAAAAAAAAAAAGTTTGAAAATTTTCACAAATCGCTACTTATTAAAGGAACATGATTTTACCAACCTTATAAATATTTCCATTTGTGATTTCTCTGGAAATCTAGAGGCGTATATAGCAAATATATGACGTCCTTGTTTATCGGTGCCCAAAAAATCACAATTTGTACGTTTAGGAGAAATGCTGAAATTTTCAGTTTCTTCTCTTAATTGATCTTCGAAATCATCTTCCAAAGGATTAACTATATCCTCAGGTTCTTCATGGCAATCTTGTTTAACAAATTAAGAAATGAAAACTTATTAAAATACATACATACATATTTATGTAAATCTTATTTACCTTCAGTTACCACAAAGTCATCATCCATAACATCATCTAAATAAATTAATTTTAACATAATACTATTTATTTCCAATTTTCAAAATAACAACTACTCACTTTGTGGTGCAATGGGTGTGGCTAACAATTCTGTATCATCGAATTCGAGTTTGGGTTCAAAATCATGTAAATCCGATAGACTGGGTTGTGGTTCATCGGAATTTTCTACTAGTGGATTAATAGCAGGTCCTAGACGATTAACACGAAACTCATTATATCCATTATTTTAATTCAAATTTATAATGTGCATTAAGTACATACTAATAATTTAATTAGTAATAACGCCTTTTTACTTATATTTTTTGGCAGTTTTTAGTATTTGTGATATTTTTAGTTTGTTTGTTTTTTATTTTGGAAAATAAATCAAATGTTGTTGGGTGTAAAGAAAAAGTTTTAATTTAATATTATTATTATTACAAAGAGACCAAACAAGAAGAAAATCTATACAAAAACAACACAACATTTAGTTGAAAAAGAGGGAAAATAAAACAAACAAAAACTAATATGGATATGAACGAAATTGAAAAAAAATAATAATAATTACACAAAGGCGAATAATTAAATGAAGAAGATAAACTTAAACTTTATGTTTTGTGTTCTACTTGAGATTATTGAGGATGTAGTATTGGCAGGTTCTATTTTCTAATAAACAGTCTATTTGTTCTATAAAAACCATTTATAACAAAAAATTTCTGAACTAGAACTGAAGTAGAACTGAACTAGAACTGAACTAGAACTGAACTAGAACTGAACTAGAACTGAACTAGAACTGAACTAGAACTGAACTAGAACTGAACTAGAACTGAACTAGAGCTGAACTAGAACTGAACTAGAACTGAACTAGAACTGAACTCGAACAGAACTAGAACTGAACTAGAACTGAACTAGAACTGAACTAGAACTGAACTAGAACTGAACTAGAACTGAACTAGAACTGAACTAGAACTGAACTAGAACTGAACTAGAACTGAACTAGAACTGAACTAGAACTGAACTAGAACTGAACTAGAACTGAACTAGAACTGAACTAGAACTGAACTAGAACTGAACTAGAACTGAACTAGAACTGAACTAGAAATGAACTAGAACTGAACTAGAACTGAACTAGAACTGAACTAGAACTGAACTAGAACTGAACTAGAACTGAACTAGAACTGAACTAGAACTGAACTAGAACTGAACTAGAACTGAACTAGAACTGAACTAGAACTAACTAGAACTGAACTAGAACTGAACTAGAACTGAACTAGAACTGAACTAGAACTGAACTAGAACTGAACTAGAACTGAACTAGACCTGAACTAGAACTGAACTAGAACTGAACTAGAACTGAACTAGAACTGAACTAGAACTGAAGTAGAACTGAACTAGAACTGAACTAGAACTGAACTAGAACTGAACTAGAACTGAACTAGAACTGAACTAGAACTGAACTAGAATTGAACTAGAACTGAACTAGAACTGAACTAGAACTGAACTAGAACTGAACTAGAACTGAACTAGAACTGAACTAGAACTGAACTAGAACTGAACTAGAACTGAACTAGAACTGAACTAGAACTGAACTAGAACTGAACTAGAACTGAACTAGAACTGAACTAGAACTGAACTAGAACTGAACTAGAACTGAACTATAACTGAACTAAAACTGAACTATATCTGAAATAGATCTGAGCTGAGACTGAATATTTCTATATTGAAAATGTTTTTATAAAAAGTTTTTAATAATGAAAAATTTTCTATAATAACATTTCAATATCTAAAAAATTTCTATAAAATATTTCATTATCGAAAAAGTTTCTATAAACAATTTTCAACATCAAAAAATGTTCTAATATAAAATATCAATATTATAAACAATTTCAATATTTCATTCAAAAAATCGAAATACTGAACAATACTAAAAAATTCATGAATATTTTAAAATTATTTAATGAAGAAATAAGGTTTGAAGTTGGAAAATGTAAGAAATTTTCTTCAAATAAAACTAAAATTGTATTTTTATAAACCGACATGATTCATAGATTATTTTAGCATGCTCAGTATCTAAAGGGAGTGAAGATGTCCCGAAAATTATATACTAACATATTAATTAATTAGAAATCATTAAAAACTCTAGAACTAAACACTTGTAACTTAAATTGTTTTTAAATTTAATTTTTAAATTTGAAATACATTTTGTACATCAGACTAATTTTTCCCAATTATTCTTGTTATCAACAATGGTCATTATTTCCGTTTCAATTTTAAACATGAACCCGTAATCGAAATCTTTTTTATTATTGTTAAATATTTAACAACTACGTATTTATAAATACATATTATTAAATATTCTCTGAATCATATTTATACATATGAATGTATGTTTTTTTGTGAAGTACTTGAGATGGATTTAATAATGGTGGGTTTATGTACATGCGAAATATTTAACTTTACACCTTATCTATACAACAAAATAATAACGAAAAAGAAATGATTAATTACCTGGAAGACGTGGTATATTCATATTCCTGTGATCCATGGCAAAAAATAAAGCCAATAATTTGATAGTAGATTAGTTTGTGGCTAAAATTAGATAATTTTAAAAATAAACAATGTTATAATTAAGTAAAAGTTTATTTAAGATGAGAATTAGAACTGAAAGTAACAGTATTGTTATAATAAAGTAAACGTAAAATGGATCCTATTAAATATTCTATAACCTGCAAATTTATAAGTATATAAAGTACACGAAAAAAGCACGTATCATTGAAATTTTTTTATATATACATATGTAACACATTCTGTTTCAGTATTAATCAGATTTATACTTTTTATTAAAAATATACACACAGGAATAGTTTTTTTATACAACCAGACATCTCGCATTTTCACATAATTGTGAACTAGTGAAGTAGATTTGAACTAGTATTGAATAAAAACTAAACTAGAAATGAACTAGAACTGAACTAGATTGTAACTCGAATCTAACTTAAAATAAACTTGAACTAGAACTGAACTAGATTGTAACTCGAATCTAACTTAAAATAAACTTGAACTAGAACTGAACTAGATTGTAACTCGAATCTAACTTAAAATAAACTTGAACTAGAACTGAACTAGAACTGAACAAGAACTGAACTAGAACTGAACTAGAACTGAACTAGAACTGAACTAGAACTGAACTAGAACTGAACTAGAACTGAACTAGAACTGAACTAGAACTGAACTAGAACTGAACTAGAACTGAACTAGAACTGAACTAGAACTGAACTAGAACTGAACTAGAACTGAACTAGAACTGAACTAGAACTGAACTAGAACTGAACTAGAACTGAACTAGAACTGAACTAGAACTGAACTAGAACTGAACTAGAACTGAACTAGAACTGAACTAGAACTGAACTAGAACTGAACTAGAACTGAACTAGAACTGAACTAGAACTGAACTAGAACTGAACTAGAACTGAACTAGAACTGAACTAGAACTGAACTAGAACTGAACTAGAACTGAACTAGAACTGAACTAGAACTGAACTAGAACTGAACTAGAACTGAACTAGAACTGAACTAGAACTGAACTAGAACTGAACTAGAACTGAACTAGAACTGAACTGAACTAGAACTGAACTAGAACTGAACTAGAACTGAACTAGAACTGAACTATAACTGAACTATAACTGAACTATAACTGAACTATAACTGAACTAGAACTGAACTAGTTCAATTGAATTATTTTCATATATGTATTTCTTTTGTATTAAAATATAGATAAATCTTTTGACTTCTTAAAGTTTATTATAACGTTCAGTTTTTGTGCATGAAAAAATTTTGCTATAAAACAAATCTAATATTAAAATAATTGCAAATAAGAAAATTTAAAGTATTCTTATAAATACATTGTTATTTTGTTAATTTACCTATAATTATATTTATAACGGTAAAAGAAACACAAAGTTATCAGTTCATGACGTCACTTACAGCAATAGAAGTTCATATACACATCTATACATGTGTGTTTATTAGGCCAGCTTGCAAAAGTAAAATAATATTATAAAAAAACAAATTTCGAAATAAATTTCGAGATTGGCTAAATTACTTTTTTGATATTAAAGATTAAGTAAATTTTTTATATTATAAACATTTGCTTAGACTAATCGACAGATTGGTCTATAAACTAAGTAAGTTTAGTTAATAGACCAATATATACAATTGTCAATAGACTCGACAATAAAGTAGTTAATAGGATAATAAACGGACTAGTCTATAAACTAGTTCACAGACTTATCAATAAAATAATCAATAGACTCATCTATAAATGGACTATTCTATAGTATAGACAATAGACTTTCCATTGAACTGAAAATATACTATTAGAATATTATTCAATTGTAATTTAGTACTTTAATTTTAAAAGAGTACTCTTTTTGGTAAAGAACTTAAAGACAATATTTGTGCAATATAGCATCCAGTTAAATCTGCAAATAAACAAAATAAAATCTTTAATCTATTTTTGGAGGGGCTGGTCTAATGTTCATATTTAAACTTGCATGCAAATTGTTGGTGTGATTGTTATTTTGTTTGGAAAGTAAGAAAGAAAATAAAAATAATATGCAGTTTCATGTAAATTTGATTAGTATAGACTTGCAAAGTTGTTATATGTATATGAATGTATGCAAATTAATGCATTATTTTATAAAAATATTTGTCGAAACAAATCAGTTCATTTTAGAAAAAAGTATTTGTTTCTTGTCTTTTTTATTATTTTTTGTTGACACTCGGGGAGTCGAGTACAAGCACACACACCCTAATACACAAAATCAGACTTGGCAAAAACTGACTTTTTTCGGTTTTATATTTTCTAATACACGTAGTCAATTTTAGTTTTTTTAATGACTTTATATTATTTTTATCTATTACTTGAACTGTATAATTTTATGGGAGATATTGATAAAACCCTTTTTGTTAATTGCGTAGGTTGTTTGGTTGCTGGTTACCTTGTTACTCACTCTTTTTTTTTTTTGCAAGTCCTAAGCAAAAACAATTTTGGTTTTTATTACACTTTGTCTTTGTTATTTCTAAAAATTTATATAAATCCTTTTGATATTTTTACTTTTCCATTTGAATTAATAAACTTTATTGTGTTATTTAAAATATTAAATAAAGTTGCTAAATGTTCATTATATTTTAATATCTCTATTTTGATAAAAACTTGAATGAAAATTTTTTTTCGTTTTGCACATATACGAGTTTTATATATTATTTTTCTTTTTCTTATCGTTTATGTCAAAGGAGAATTTAAATAAGATGTTTTAAAAGCTCTAATGTAAATTTTTTATATATGGCTTTTGGCAGTTGTAATAAACTAAACAATAAAAAATGTTTAGTATATTGATTGTTATTTTGACAACTCTCACAACCTTATAAATATTTCATTCCACAAAGAAAACATGAAATAACAACTCTGTTGAGTGGGTTAACACAACAATGTCGATAAGGCCGTACTTATCGCTCTCATCAATTGTCATAAATTTCCCTTTTTATTGACATAGGAAATTCCCAAAATAAACCAAAAAATAAATTGCAGGTGAAGTGATTTTCTATTTTTTACTTCAGCATGGAATTTGTTTAACAAATATTTTCATTAAATATTGTTTAATTGTTAAAGAAAATAAGACGAAAAAGTAATTAAAAAATGTAATTTTAAACAACGATTTAATAATCAAATGAAATATAACAAATAATAATAGACTTTGATTTATAAAATATACATAACAAATACTTAAATCTACGTGTTCTTTCTTTGCTGGGCAACTAGTTGAACTTTGACTCAAAATATTGAAACATCTCATGAACTTTTCACTTTCACTTTTTACGTTAACAAAACTATAATTGCAACATCACCTAAAAAAACCAATAAACAAACGAAACGTACAAAATCCGGTAAAATGGCCACTAAAAGAAAACCCATACGACCTAATGTGTATACGGGCCCACAAATGAACTTCCGCGGGGGGCCTGATGTAACTAGATCTGAAGCCAAAGGCACACGTCCCACTGCTCCACCAACAAGCATTAGGGAAATAATGGTCATGATGATAATGCATATTTGTAAAAAGACTATTTTCTTTGATACAAATCTTAAGGTGGCTCTGTATTTGGGTAGTTTGTTTATAATATCATTGATTGGTGATTTTATACCATTTCCCAAGACGTATTTTGCACGTTCGGATAATTTGTTTAATGTTTACTTTGTAAAAGTTGGTTGGGGTTGGACTCTATTGTTTTCGGTGCCATTTGTAGTGATGACTTCATATACACTGTGCTGTGGTGACATGAAGAAGTTATTGCGTCATCATGTCCCACGTATTGCTATCGCTACATTCTTTTGGTTTTTCTGGACGAAATTGTTTAATGTTATTGAAACGTCATATGGAAAATGTACAGCTAAAGGTAAGTGGTAGTCTTATAAGTTTTATTACTTTTATGTTGTTCGAGGGATAGTTTTGTTGTTATTATGCTCCTTATAAAAATTTTACATAAATCGTGCAGATCTGATAATGCATTAGCTCGGAATTTGGAAAATGCCTTTAAATAAGATACATTAATACTAGTATTTTGCTATTTATAGTTTAGTTTTGAAGCAGTCTTTACAGGCAGACTCCGGGGGGTCAATTGTATTCCAATTAATTCAAAAACTATCTTTCAATTATTAGAAGAAATTATGAGAAAAGCGAAAAATATATAAAAATTAATCTATCCAAAGCTTTAGCCCATCAGACTCTAACGGCCTAATTCATCCCCAACATCCCCAATGTTACTTTTGTTAGAAAATGTTTCTATCGACCAGTTTGCAATTGTTTAAAGTTTCTTATATTTCACTAAAAATTTTAATTTTCATTAAAAATTTTAATTTTCATTAAAAATTTTAATTTTTACTAAAAATTTTAATTTTTACTAAAAATTTTAATTTTCACTAAAAATTAAATTTTCACTAAAAATTTAATTTTTCTCTCAAAATTTAAGTTTTCACTAAAAATTTAAAATTTTACTAAAAATTTAAATTTTTACTAAAAATTTAAATTTTTACTAAAAATTTAAATTAGCGCTAAAAATTTAAATTTTCACTAAAAATTTAAATTTCCACAAAAATTCAAGTTTTTACAAAAATTTCCTATTTATACTACAAATTCAATATCCTCAACAAAAAATCAATCAAAATTTAAATTTCACTCACCAGAATTGAATAATTTCTCATTGAAATAAAACTTTTCTTTTTTAAGGTTTTTCCACCAAATCAAGTTGTCTTCGGGCTGGCCACTTATGGAATGGATTTGATATATCTGGTCACGCTTTTATTCTAATACACTCGAGTCTGGTACTTATCGAAGAAGCAAGACCCATTATAAAATGGGAAACTATTAAAGAACATTTACGCAACGAACTACATGATCGTTCTATAGCCGAAACATCGAGCACAAATCCTCTACGCAATCTAAACGATGAACAAATGCGAAATTTGAAATTTCTTTATGAACGTCTAACACCCATTATACGCACTTTATTCATTGGTATGGCTGCCTTGCAATTGTTATGGGATGTAATGCTTGTGGGCACTATGCTCTACTATCATCGTATGATTGAGAAGTTTATTAGTGGTATTATTGCTATTTTCACCTGGTATTTCACTTATCGCTTTTGGTATCGTTCGTCAGTATTACCGGATCCAGCAGGAAGTGGTGAATTTTTCTATCAAAAGGAGAATAAGGATGCATTTGTTTTTAGACGTCAAAATAGTATGACTTCAATGCCAAATGCAAATGTGCCATCGACAAGTAGTGGTTTTAGAAGTGCTGCCGGTGGCAGCAGTCAAGCACAAGTACCTAAATTTATGGGTATGCCACTTTACACTAGTCCTAAAGCAGCGAGTTCTTCCATTACCAGCTCAAATGGTAATGGTAATGATAGGTAGATCAATGTATTGATCGTTCATTGAAGACGTTAGTGAAAATTACATTTTATGTGTTGGGTAATAAAGTTTAAGGTGTTAATTTTTTTATATACCAAATTTTAAATACCTCGAGAGCTTTTTTATTTGGTGATTGAATTTCTAATGAGTTCAAGTGTTTTATTTAATTTATTAAAGCTATATTTAAGTTTATGTGTTCTTAGTGTAATCTTTTTTGTTTCTCTAGTTTGTGAACTTTTAAATTGTATGTATTTTTTATTTGTTTTTTATTTTTTAATATAACGATTTATTTGCGTATGTAGTTTTCATTTAACTGTATTAAAATAATTGTCGTAAAGTTTATTGTTTTCATTTATTAACAACATATTGTGTGTTTTTATTTATTTATTTATTTAAAATGGTTTTACTTATTTATGAGCAAAGGCGGCAAATACTGCCATACCCAAAACACCAGCACTGGCTCCGATTATATAGTTGGATGGTGTCATTTGCCACATATCTTTCAGTATTTCAAAATTAGTTGGCATTAACTTTTCATAGGAGGCACGTTTCTTGAAACGTAAAAAATAACTCTCCACACGTGGCAGTTTTCCATAAGACCAATAGTAGTTCTCAAAACCCAATTGGTATAAACGTAATAGCAACAAGCCAAAGCAAACATCAGCCATACAAAAATCATTAGAGACAAGCCATTCCCTGGCAGGATGAGCCACCATATCGTCTTCAACGAAACGTAAAACATTGTGAATGGCATCCAAGATTTTTTGATATTCTAGACGTGAATAAACGATACGTTTACGACGCTCTTGCAAATCTAATTTACGCAATAAGGCTGCTTTATGATCTTCCACTTTATCGATGGATTCCTTTAAAAGGCCATAAACTTTTTCATTATTCTCTGTAAATAACAATTAATTCTTTAAATAAGAAAATTAAGAATAAATTTCTAAAAAAACTTACTCAAGCAAGTTTTCCTTATAGGTCCAATGAATGGTGGTTTTGGTACTAGTTTTAAATCATCATGTATAAACGAGCCCAAACTTAAGGCACCTACTGGTAAATGGCCCAAGATTTGTTCGAACAATAGCATTTTCTCATTCTCTAAAGAATTATTATTTTTCGGTTTCAATGACTTGCAATCACCTAAAATAATGAAAACAAATTTAATTAATAATTAAATATAATTATTTTTGTTGAAGTCAACTTTACCGCCTTGAAATTTATTTTCTATATAATTAATGATATGCGACGAATCGGGTACTACAAAGGAACCATCTTGTAGAACGGGTACATCGGCTTTAGGATTTAAATTTAAAAACCAATTTGAGTATTGCTCGCCATTTAATAAATCCACAACATAAGGTGTGAATTCAATATTTTTCTCATATAAAAGTAAGAGGATCTGAAAATAAGAAAATTAAAAAGATAAATTAAAACGACGTTTGAATAAAAAATTCTTTTCACGAAAAATTCATTTTGATTCTCAAAACTCTTTTTACTAAAATCGACATTCCCATTGGGATGAAATTTATAATGGATGACTTCCAAAACGTACCAATACTAAGTTTAAATACAAGTAAGAAAGTATAGTCGGGCGTGGCCGACCATATGATACCCTACACCAGTTATGAATATTAAATGTGATATATTTTTCATAAAAAAGCATTTATCTTCAATATTCCCTTGTTCCGATACATTTAAGCAATTTATGAATGAAAAACTAATTTTCTGAAAGAGGCTTTATATGGGGGCTAGGGGCAAATATGGACCAAGCCCGATAAAATTGTGTGAATATATTTATATTTACATAATATTTTATTGTGCTAAATTTCATCGCGATATTTGTGTTTATAAGTTAATTCGGAACATTCAAGTGATTTTCGGAAGGGAAATTTGTATTGGAGCTAGGGTCAAATGAGACCCGATCTTTATGAAATTTGGCAGGGTCATCAAGACTTCTATAAAACTTAGTTGCGCCGCATTTTATCGATATATCTGTATTTTTAACATAATTATGAGCTCAAAAGTCCTTTTCAGGGGGTTCTGTTCTATGGGGGCTAGGTGAAATAATGGACCGATTTTAACCATTTTCAATAGGCTTCGTCCTTGGGTCAAATAAAACGTGCGTGCCAAATTTCATCCAATTATCTTGAAAATTGCGACCTGTACCTTGCGCACAAGGTTTACATGGACAGCCAGCCAGCCAGACGGACGGACATAGCTTAATCGACTCAGAAAACGATTCTAAGCCGATTGGTAAACTTTAAGGTGGGTGTAGGACGAATATTTTTGTATGTTACAAACATCAGCACAAATCCAATATACCCTCCCCACTAAAGAGGTGTAGGGTATAACAATTTCACTGCACTATTTAAATACACTTAGGCCTATATCGGACCTGTTATGCACTCCTTAACCAGGGCCTCAGTTGGGAATCGAACTCACCACCTCCGGTCTACCAGACTAGAACACTAACCACTAACCTACCGGAGACCAAAATATAGGAGATAATACATTCCTGTGCATTCCTGATGCGACTTTCTTGTTTTTTTAATCATTTCAAAAAATGAAGAGAGCCATACGACTGTCAAATTTTCCATCCGTATTTTCTCTCAATGTGTGATGATTTCGTTACATATTGCGTTTAGACGATCCCATTCGATCTCTTTTACACAAAATTTTGACAGATCATATTACTTGTGTGTTCGTGTGAAGGGGACTTAAATCACTAGTGTATAAAAAAGATACACTTAGACAGTTAAAGGTCGGGTATAGGCACTTCCATGGCAGAATTAGAAAGGTGACTGCTTTATTTTTGAGCTTTCTGTCAAAAGTTGTTATTGTTTGCAAATAAAGGCCTAAATCATAAACAAAATTTTTATTTAATAAACCGTTAAAAAAAATAAAATTTTGTTTATGAATAAGGGGAAAAATGCATGTTGTTTTTGTATTGTTGTAGTGGTGCATTCGCCAGTCTAATTTTGCAATGGCTAGGTAAATCCTTCTTAGAGCCAATCTTTAGGTGAAAGATTAGCGATTAAATTAAAATTAATCCTCGAAAGATGTTTTTGAGTACTCAATTAGTTAATTTTGTTTGCAAGTTTAAGCGCCCAATGGAGGTGGTTTAATCTTAAGCACAAAATGCAAAAGTGTAAACAGCTGATGCAAAAAAATTAATAAAATTTTTATAAATATAAACATTAAAATGTTCTATTTATTGATTAGTATAAATTATGGACACTTCAAAATACATTTTTTTGTTTTTAATTTAAGTTTTCATTAATTTTCATATTAAATTTACAATTGTCTTCTTCTTTTTTATAAAATATGCATTGTTTTGATAACAAACAGTGAAGTTTTCTGTTGTTTTGTATGGCAACACTGCGAAGTTTAATCTTGTACTCAAAAACATCAAAGAGGATTGACATAAGATTAAATTTATTTTTAGATTAACTAATCTGATTATTAATTGGCATTTGATTACCATCTCAAAAACCCGCTCTTAAAGTTATTTTTAAATTTTTTATGAAAGTGTTAAGATTTTATCGCTTTTATTTTTGAAGTGTAATTTTTATACCCTACACCACTTTAGTGGGGAGGGTATATTGGATAGGTGCTGATGTTTGTAACATACAAAAATATTCATCCTAGACCCACCTTAAAGTATACCAATCGGCTTAGAATCGTTTTCTGAGTCGATTAAGCTATGTCCGTCCGTCCGTCCGTCTGGCTGGCTGTCCATGTAAACCTTGTGCGCAAGGTACAGGTCGCAATTTTCAAGATAATTGGATGAAATTTGGCACGCACGTTTTATTTGACCCAAGGACGAAGCCTATTGAAAATGGTTAAAATCGGTCCATTATTTCACCTAGCCCCATAGAACAGAACCCCCCGAAAAGGGCTTCTGAGCTCATAATTATGTTAAATATACAGATATACCGATAAAATACGGCACAACTAAGTTTTATAGAAGTCTTGATGACCCTGCCAAATTTCATAAAGATCGGGCCACATTTGACCCTAGCTCCCATACAAAGTTCCCTTCAGAAAATTACTTGAATGTCCCAAATTAACTTATAAACACAAATATCGCGATGAAATTCAGCACAATAAAATATTATGTAAATATAAATATATTCACAAAGTTTTATAGGGCTTGGTCCATATTTGCCCCTAGCCCCCATATAAAGCCTCTTTTAGAAAATTAGTTTTTCATCCGTAAATTGCTTTAGTGTATCGGAACAAGGGAATATTGAAGATAAATGCTTTATTATGAAAAATAAATCACATTTAATATTCATAACTGGTGTAGGGTATCATATGGTCGGCCACGCCCGACTATACTTTCTTACTTGTTTTATTTAATATCGTTTAGGGTAGCGAAGCCCGTCGGGTACTCTGGTAAATAATAAATCTTTAAAATCGAATCAAATTTATTTAAGTTGTATTGTTTACCACAATCAAATTTTCGAATATTTGTTCATGTTTACTCTAAAATATTGCACAATGTGTGAAAAATACACTGAAGAAAATGATTATTGGAAAACAGTTCAATTTTGAATTAGAAATAATAAATATAATAAATATATAGAAAATCAAAAAGGTAAGTATATATAGTAATGTCCAATCGAAATTTACTTTTGTTTTGAAACGTTTTTTATAATTTAATTAACACTTAACCTATTAAAAATTTGTTCTTTTAATGTTTTTTTATTTTTTATTAATTCTACTAATAGGAAATACATTTTTTATAGACACTGTAAATCAGATATTAAGTGTTCTTTTTAAATTCTCATAATTTATTTAATTTTATATTAATTTTCACCACATTTTTCGCTCTATTTAATATAGTACACTAACTTCTTAATTATTATTATTATTTTTTTTTTTTAATTTTAAATAAGATCACATGATATATATTAATTAAACTCTTTTTATATGTATGTATGTAAATATTTTTAAATTATGTTTTAATCTTAAGAGCATTAAATATTATAGACATACTTTTTGTGAATGGAAATTATAGGGATGAAAATATAAAACTAATTCATCCTCTTTAAAAGTGGGTGCTTTAAAATCCTTTAGCAATGATGTCGGAGGTGGTGTATGATTTAGATGTGGAATATTTTCACTCATTTCTTTAGTCTTTTTTTCTTCGACTACTAAACGATAACACACACACGAGAAGTCAGCGCTAACGGGCCGTATATTTCCTTAACAAACTGACTTTTCTTACTGTTTTTATGCAGTTATAACTTAAAAGTTCATACTAAACGGAAAACGTCTATAATTTGTGTGTGTGTGTCTAGTTAGTTACTCTCTTCTGCTCACGATAAAAAGTATTAAGATTTTGTTTTCAATGTTCGTTTCATCACATGCTTTAACTAACGCACACACGAAACTTTATGGTTAATAAGAAAATAAATATTCGTAGTACTAGTAGTAGTACGATCCGTAGACTTAATGACTATACTGCATGAGTTGTTTGTCGCAGTCTAGACTAGACTATGCTCCACAATTTACCTTAAACTAAAAACAACTGAAAACAGCTAAAAAAAAAATAAATTTTGTAGTGGGACAGATTTTAGATATCTATTATTTTCAGATTTTGATTGTATGTATTTTATAAAAATAATTTGTTTTGATCTTAATTTACACTTTTTTTCAGTGCGGAGCGTATGTAGTAGTGGAAGTCATTCTAATTTGTTTATTTTTCTCATCAACGTTGTACTACTTGTACAATTACTGAATTCAAATTAAAAATTTTAAATTTACTAAAAAGCAGAGGGTAGACAGATAGCTGGAGTGGAGATTTTAGAGTTGATTGCTCATTAATCTGTGAAATAAGTGTGAAATTTTATTAAGTACTTTTATTTAAATTTTAATAAAAAATATACCTACAACCCTAATGATTTTTTTTAATAAATTTAAACAGAATTGAAAAATATATATGGAAATAAGTTTCCCAATAAACCGAATGATATTATATACATACAGTGGTGGCCATGAGGTTAGCACATTTGGTATCTGTTAAATATAAAATCAAATATTTCCTATAGTTCTTAACTTTTTTAACAAATTCTTTTTTATGCGTAACACATGTCCTTCGAGGATCACGACACATTACATTTTGTTCCACTACTTTGTTGCAGATAGATTTCTTTCTTTCCAAAGTACATCTACCCCAAAAAAAATCTGGACATAAGTTTAGCACAAAATAAAAAAATCATTAAAAAATTAAAAATAAAGCAAAGAAACTGGATAATTTTATGTAATTTCACTTAAAATTTTATATTTTGTAGAATAGTTGCACATTTTGATAATATCATTTCTTCTCCTGGACATAATCTTCACCAGAACCCACTAGAAATTTCATGACATAAATTTTAACTTTCAGCCCATAAATAGGCAAAATTCTTAGGAATTTGTGTTTTATTTGTTGCACCATTTCGTTTAATATGTTCCCTATTGGATTGGGATCTAGAAATTATTCTGGGGGCTGCAAACATGTCAATCTCGCTCGCTTCCAAGAAGCTCCTCTCTGTACTTTTAACATATTTTGGGTCATTGTCGACCAAAAAACGCCATTTAACTGAACTTTTGTCCACTCATTATACCCTACACCACTTTAGTGGGGAGGGTATATTGGGTTTGTGCTGATGTTTGTAACGCACAATAATATTGGTCCTATACCCACCTTAAAGTATACCAATCGGCTCAGAATCATTTTCTGGGTCGATTTAGCTATGTCCGTCCGTCTGTCCGTCCGTCTGTCCGTCCGTCCGTCTGTCCGTCCGTCTGTCCGTCCGTCCGTCCGTCCATGTAAACCTTGTAATCAAACTACAGTTCGTAATTTTGAAGATAATTCAATGAAATTTGGTACATGATCTCCTATTGTGCCAGGGACGAAGCCTATTGAAAATGGTTAAGATCGGTCCATTATTTCACCTAGCCCCCATACAACTGATCCCCCCAATAGGGCTTGTAATTCTTGTAATCAAACTACAGGTCGCAATTTTGGAGATAATTCAATGAAACTTGGCACATGATCTTTTATGGTATCGTAGACAAAGCCTATTGAAAATGGTTAACATCGGTCCATTATTTCACCTAGCCCCCATACAACTGAACCCCTCGAATAGGGCGTTTAAAACTTGTAATCAAACTACAGGTCGCAATTTTGGAGATAATTCAATGAAATTTGGCACATGATCTTTTATGGTACCGTAGATGAAGCCTGTTGAAAATGGTTTACATCGGTCCATTATTTCACCTAGCCCCCATACAACTGAACCCCTCGAATAGGGCTTTTAAAATTTGTAACCAAACTACAGGTCGCAATTTTGGAGATAATTCAATGAAATTTGGCACATGATCTTTTATGGTATCGTAGACGAAGCCTATTGAAAATGGTTAACATCGGTCCATTATTTCACCTAGCCCCCATACAACTGAACCCCCGAATAGGGCTTTTAAAACTTGTAATCAAACTACAGTTACAAAGCCGCCGAATAGGGCTTTTAAGTTCATAATTATGTTTAATATACTCATATCTCAACAAAAAGCTGCAATAACCAAGTTGTATACAAGACTTGATGACCCCCACGAATTCCATAAAAATAGGTTCTCATATGACCCTAGCCCCTATGAAAAGCCCCCATCAAAATTTCACTTAAATGTCCACAATTTTATTCAACAATAAACGGCTTAAGTATGTATATCTAAGGCAAGGTACAATTCAACTTAAATGCTTTATTATGGCAACTAAATCTCATTATATTTTTGTCAAAGGTGTAGGGTATTATATGGTCGGCCTCGCCCGACTATAATTTCTTACTTGTTTTTTTACTAAAATATTTAAGAGTCTATTTTGATAGTCATACTGATCCATTTGTGCATCCACCTTGCGTATAGAACCTCCACTAGCCCGGAAAACGCCTCCGAATTCGTCATATTTCACCCATTGTGTTTTATGGTTTTAAATGTACACTTTGGTTGTTGCTGCATGTTTGGAGTACAGCATAATTACATTTTTCCATCAAATTTGATCCTATTAATCTTCAACTAGTATCCTCCAATCATGCAGATAAAGCTAAAGTGTTCCAGAGAAATCATATATCACAATGGGGGGAAATTTCATGGTATTCATTGCATTTTCTTGGCATGCTGTTGGTCCTATATTGATGTTGGATGCAGAAGTGGATCCGTATGACTATCAAAATAGGATCTTAAATACTTTATTAAAAAAATCGGAGGACAAAGATGGCGTTTTTTGGTCGACATCGACCGTAAATATGCTAAAAGTGCTGAGATGAGCTGCTTGGAAGCGACCGGGATTGTCATGTTTGCAGTGCCCAGTATATTTTCTCGATTCCAATTCAATAGAGAACATATAACATAATATGGACCAACAAATAAAAGCAGAAATCACCAAGAATTTTGCCAATTTATGGGCTGAAATTTCTAGAGGGTTCTGGTGAAGATTATGTCCAGGAGGAGGAATGATATTATCAAAATCTGCAACTATTCCACAAAATATAAAATCTTAAGTGCAATAAGATAAATATAACCGGTTGTTTTGTTTTATTTTTAATTTTTTAATGATTTTTTAATTTTGTGCTAAACTTATGTCAAGATTTTTTTGGGGGTAGATGTACTTTGGAAAGAAAAAAATCTACATGCAACAAAGTAGTGGAACAAAATGTAATGTGTCGTGATCCTCGAAGGACATGTGTTACGCATAAAAAAGAATTTGTTAAAAAAGTTAAGAACTATAGGAAATATTTGATTTTATATTTAACAGATACCAAATGTGCTAACCTCATGGCCACCACTGTATGTACATATATCTCATCTAGGTGATAAATAGTGATAGTTGTTCTCGAATCAAAAACGATAGTATTTACGGAAAATTTTACTACTCCATAGATTGGCCAATAGTCTAGTATCCAATAAACTTGTAGGCAATAAACTAGTCTAAAGGCTAGTTAATAGACTTGGTCATAGACAAGGCAATAGACTAGTCAATACTAGTACATAGACTGGTCAATACACTAATCCATAGACTAGTTAAGAGAATGGTATAGTCAATAGACTAGTCTACAGACGGGACTAGTCAATGGGCTATTCCATAAACTAGTCCATAGGCTAGCCAATAGATTAGTTCATAGAATGTCAATTAACATACCAATAGATTATTCCATAGCCTAGTCAATAGACTAGTCTATAGTTTACTCAATAATCCATAGACTAGTCTATAGAGTAGAAAGTTAATATAGGATTAAAAGAAGTGAATAAATTAGTTTAACTCTATTTTTATTAACTCCGCTGTACATGAATTTATGTTTTTTGTTTAAATAAACGGTATTATTTGTTATCTCTGCTAGAGGATTTACTTTTCAAACAAATGTGAGACAATACGTTATTGACCTAGAATTATAAATAGTGTATAAATTTAAGTAAATCTTTGAAGAATTTTTGAAGTTTTCTGAAACATATAACTGAATGTATGTACATTAGTATCCCAGCAAAAAAAAGAATATCCAAAGAAGCGAAAAAGAAGTAGAATTTACTCCATGGATGTATTGAAAAAGACCTGCAGAAGTGATGATTTTAACACAAGCTTGTCATAGGAGGGATGTCCTTTTTATTTGATTCCAAATTCACTACTTCTGAAGTCATTTTCAAGAAGTAATTTTTATGTTATTTTTTAGGAAGTTGTTTGGATGCGAAATTCTATTATAAAATACAACTAATTTTACTTAAATAATATTAACATTAATAAGGTAAATAGACACATTTAAAGCCCAAAAAAGTTTTTAACTCAAAAAATGTAAGAACAACAAAAATATATGTATCTTCGGCATTGAAAAAAATGGATTATTTTCGCTTCATCGGAAGTCATTAAACATAATTTCCACAGAAGGTAAAAAAATCACTTAGTGCTACTTTAGAAGTGGTGATAAATGTTCTTCTTTTGGAACTACTTCGTTTTATTTTTGATGGGATGTTAATTATCAGAACTATCTCACGTACCCTTTAAAATGATTTGCATTCCATAACATTATTATGATAAATTCTGAGTTTTGGGCAAATATGGGATTGGCGCCTTGATGTTCATCAGAGTGCATAATAAACGTACAAAAATTCGAAAATTGAAACTAAATTGTGCAAGATTTGTATATACATATGTATTTCGAAAAGTAAACAGTGTGGACAATATAAAAGAAGTGTATTTTTCAGAATTAAACATTTTTATTATTTTTTTGAAGTACATCCACTGTGGTTGTTTCTTTTTTTAAGATTAAATTTTAAAGATTTTTCAATTGCAAATGAAATGCCTAAAAATATGCATTAAACTTCATAAAATCGTTATCTACAGTATAAACAACAGCTGATTTTGTTTTCGTGTTTATACCCTTCAGTTTCGGAGGAGGGTGTATGGATTTGTCACTTTGTTTGTAATTTATAGAATTCAATTTTGAAATACATATTACAAAATAGCGAAGTCCATTTAGGTATGTCCGTTTGTCCATATGTGAATTGAAATCAGTTTTGTGGTGAGGACATGCTTTCAACAATTTTGCTATATAAAATCAACAAAATCGGTGCATAAATAACAGAATATGACCAAAATTCAGAAAGAAATCAATAATTGTTACAGAACTTTGAATATATGTATTAAAAAAGGAAAATATTCAAAGAACCTTTCATTTGATACGAGAGATAACCAAAAATAAATTTTTTATGGATTTTACTCATAAGATTTCGAAAAATAATTTTTTTGTTGAGAAGATATAGTGAAGGGTAAATAAGATTCGACAAAGCCAAATTTTACACTTTTACTTGTTTTGTTTATCAAAGTCCGAATTTTAATAAACAGTTAATTATATAAAAATAAACATTTTTATTATCATTAAATTATAAACTTAGTTCAAATTTTGCCATAAATATGTTGCATACTATCAAACAGGTTGGAAGTAAAGTATTTTTACAAACAAAAGCTAACAACACCTTATATACTATTGCCGCTTGCCGTGGGTTCAAAGTTCTGTCTGTTAATCAAAAACAAATACAAACGCAAAAAACAACAACTCTTCATACTAGTGGCCCTAAACATTGGCAGCAAAGGTTTGCCAGCGGCAGTAATACATTAACCAGCAATAATATGAAACGTTTACAGGGTAAAGTAGCTGTTGTAACAGCTTCCACTGATGGGTGAGTAACAAAAAAATAAAAAAGAAAATCTAAAGCAAAACCTATAATATTTGTTTATAGTATTGGATTTTCCATTGCCAAACGTTTGGCCCAGGACGGTGCCAATGTAGTTATCAGCAGTCGCAAGCAAAACAATGTGGATAAAGCAGTCGAGGAATTGCGCAAACTTAATTTAAATGTTTTAGGCTTAAAATGTCACGTTAGTGAATCGCAAGATCGTAAACAACTTTTCGAACAGACCATAAGCAAATATGGCAAAATTAATATTTTGGTGTCTAATGCCGCCACCAATCCCGCTGTGGGTGGTGTTTTGGATTGCGATGAAAAGGTGTGGGATAAAATATTCGATGTAAATGTTAAATCTTCCTATTTGCTGGCCAAAGAAGCTTTACCACATTTACGCAAAGAAAAGAATTCAAGCATTGTGTTCGTTTCATCTATTGCGGGTTATGATGCTTTTGAGGTAAGTCCAATCTATTATTTGTAAAAGTAACCTTCATATCTATTAATAATTTCAGCTTTTAGGAGCTTATTCCGTTAGCAAAACAGCCTTGATTGGTCTTACTAAAGCAGCAGCCAAAGACTTGGCACCTGAAGGTATACGCGTTAATTGTTTGGCACCCGGCATTATTAAAACTAAATTTTCTAAAACGGTAAATATTTAAAATCCACCGTATTTACGGTAAATTAGGGTGGCTCAGTTTACAGGAGGAAAATATTTTCTAAATTTGTTGTGAGTATTTGGTGTTCAGGAACAAAGGATAGAATATACTATTCTATAGTCCAGACTATATACTATATGGTCCAGAATATGGACTATTCTATAGTAAATAATATTCTATAGTCCAGAAAATAGACTATTCCATAGTCTAGGCTATAGACTATTCTATAGTTCAGACTGTAGACTATTCTATAGTCCAGACTGTAGACTATTCTATAGTCCTGACTATTGAGTTTATATTCTGCACTATCCAGACTATAGACTATTCATTAGTCCAAACTATATCCTGTACTATAATCCAAAATATAGATTTTTCTATAGTCCAGAATATATATTATCTTATAGTCCAGACTATAGACTATTCTATAGTCCAAACTGTAGACCACTTTATAGTCTGGACTACAAACAATTCTATAGTCATGACAAAATAAAATTTAAGGTTTTAAAAAAAACATCACTATGGCAAACATCAGCAATTTAATTTTGTTCCAGCCTACTGTAAAAATTTTCATTAACAATGTTATATTTCTTTATACATTTTACAGCTCTATGAAGATGAAGCAGCAAATGAGGCGGCTTTGTCTAAAATACCACTAAATCGTTTAGGTATGCCAGACGAAATGGCAGGAGTGGTATCATTTTTAGTATCCGATGATGCTAGCTATATAACTGGTGAAACTATAGTAGCATCTGGCGGCATGTCTGGACGTTTGTAAACGATTTATAAAAGTTTGAATGAATTATTGGTTTTATATATATGTAATGGATAAATTTATTAATAAAAACATAATCACGTTAAAATATAATGTAATAACTAATAATATAAAAATAAAAAGACAATTCTATGTGGAACGTAATTTAGCCAATTGAGCAGCAATATCCTTATCCGTGCGTGTATCTTCCAAACCACCCGAGGCAGCTGCTGGTACATTAGCCATTTTTCCTGAGATTTCAATGCCAATTTCATCGAGCACTTTATTGACAACAGCATTGGTTTCCTCTTCCTCATCCGAATCGGCTAACATATCGTCTAGGGTATCATTAATCATTTCATCAGTCATTTCCATTTTCATATTAGCCTGTTGGAAGTCCCGTACATTGGCAGCAATACTTTCGGGTTTCATGATTTTATTCATTTCAGCCATAGTTTTGGCCGACGTGCTCATGGCATTACTCAGCGCCACATTAGTGCCAATATTTTTATTCTGATAACCTATCGAAGTGATCTTACTGTTGGCCGCAAAAGTGCGTGCCTTTTGTTTACGTATCTCCACCAGTTGTTTGGCCAGTATGCGACAGACATCGTTGTTGCCTTGGGCTGCATTCTTTTTAATTTCCATCTGGAGTTTCTTTTCCTCCTCCTCCAATTTTCTTCGTTCTCTTTCAATATCTCGAGAGGCTTTTCTTAAATTTCTATCATTATCACGTTGTTGTTCCTTGAGAGAAGGAGCTTTGCCGAATAGATTGTTAAACATTTTTTTACGATTTTTTTTTATTTAAAAGGGAAAATTAATTGGAATATTTTATAAATTTTATATGTGTTTTTCCGAAGATGAATCACTTTTGTAGTTTTTTTTTTCTTGCTTTATGTTTACAAGAATATGATAAACAAAACAAATACAAACAGCTGACATTTAAGACAGTTTGTTGTTATTGTTTTTAAACATGGGATTACTTTTCTAAATTTAAATAATCGGTATTTTAAATTAGGATTTTCGTTTAGCTTTTTTAAACAACAATCTTAAAAAAAGTTAATTGATCTTAGATTTTTTCGGACCAGAAAAAAGTTTTGTTCTTAAAATTACAAATTTCTTAAATTCTAAAATTTCGACAATTTTTCCTTTTCTATACAACTTTCAAAAATTTTTCTTTTCATAAGAAATTCCTGAAATTTCAAAAGATTCATGGCAACCATTGGGTTATTTTAAAAATAAATATTATATTCTTATTTTGAACTAATATAATTTAATTTTATAATTTGTCTACTACTCTGATTAGTTTACTTCCCATAACATAACGGTTACTTTGTGTTTAAGTACTTTTAAATACAACACTGTCATCGCACATAATTTTCTCATTTTGTTTTTATTATTCAATTCTTAGCAGCCACCATCCAATTTGGACTGAAATCCAGCTAAAAAATGCCGGTAGAGAATATTTTAAAACAAGGAGCTGAAGGTCGTCTATATTTAGGAGAATACAAAGGCGAACGATGTCTAATAAAGGAAAGATTTGTGAAAAAATATCGCCATCAAGAGCTGGACAATCAAATCACCCGGCAACGTATGAAGGCCGAAACAAAGGCGGCCGGAAGATGTCAAACGGCTGGTATAATTGCACCCAGAATTCTACATATGGATTTGCAAGAACGTAAAATCTACATGGAATATTATGATAAAGCCATAACAGCCAAGGAATATATACAGAGAATAGTGGCTAGCGAAAAGGATAAGGCCGAGGAAGTTCTCAAATCATTGTGTACGGTTATAGGCAGTACCATAGGAAAAATGCATGCAAACAATATTATACATGGTGATCTAACTACTTCAAATATTTTGATAAATCCTAAGCAAGCAGACGATTTTACTGAATATGAGGTGGTATTTATAGATTTTGGTTTGAGCCACTATAATCAGGGTTCAGAAGATAAGGGAGTGGATTTATATGTTTTAGAGCGTGCTTTGTTGAGTACCCACAGTGAACAGCCTTATCTGTTCGAGTACATGTTGCAGGCCTATCGCTTAGCATGTGGTAAAGATGAGGCAACGGTGGTGGCTAAATTTGAGGAGGTCAGAGCCAGAGGACGTAAAAGGACAATGATTGGTTAAGTTTTTAAGTTCATTTTCTTTTCGTATTTTTCATTTTACTTAAACAATAAACAACATTTAAATTTAAATTAAATAAAAATTAAACTTACTTTTAGGAAAATAGTTAAGCAATCCTAAAGGGATTATTAGGATTAGATTGTTTCGTTTGTTGTTTATCATCAATATCTTCATTATTAACTTCTTCAGCTGAGTTGTTTAGCAGTTTTGCAGTTTGTGCTGCCAATTGCTCATCACCTTTAAGATTTTGTATTTTTATTTTCTTTATATATTTACGCAGTTTAGTTTTCTTAGCTAATTTTGCGTTTTTAATAGGTTCCATGCCTTCACCGTCCTGCTCCTTATAGTGATCATAGGGACGCTCTTTAAGTTTCTTAATGGCATCTTCTAATTTTAAACCATCTATGCCGTGCTCTTCTTGGTACAGTCTGTATTTATCACAAAATTTCTTATGTTCCTTTTTATACAATTTGTTTTTTGTAGTGGGATGCTAAAATTAAAAACAGGATTATAGAAGTGTCCTTTTTTTCAGTAAAATAAAATCACTTACTCTCGCATCTATGGCACGCGCACATTGTAGATAAAAATTGTTTAAATGTCTAAGGAATATTTCATTTGGTTTGATATTTTCATCCAAACTAATTTGCATAATTTCACAAATATAAGGAAACGATTTTTGGGCACAACCTTGTCTTAGCATGGCACCCAAAATCTGTATGTTCATTCTGAAATTGACATAAACTTAGGAAATTTTAACTACTAATAATCTGATATAACTACCTTATATCATTGTGTCGCATTTGTTCCAACAACTCCCTAGAACTTTCCACTGTTGTGCAACCTAATGCTAAAACACCATAGGTTACAATATCCGGATAAAGGCCAGCTGTACGTATCATAGATAAAACTTCTTTGCCACCTTCGTAATCAAAACGCATGGCTCTTTTCTTGATAAGAATATTAAAGAAGTCTATATCCGCCTTAAGACCTATTTTACGTATATATGTAAGCAGCTGTTTTTCGGCGGTATTTGTGGGCGGTATAACCTCTAACATAGTGGTAAATGTTTGTATATCTGGTGTAATATTTTTCGATTTCATTAGCTCTAAAAAACCTGTGAGACCACCCAGCAACAGAAATCTTTCATGTGGCTTTTGTACTTCGCTCAACGAAACCATACTGCCCAAGTGAGGTTGAGCCGCCAATAAATTGGGTAATTCAAGTGAAGTAGCTTCACTTTGTATCTGTAAGGCTTTGTCAGTTGAAGTCTCTTTTAGAGCTACTTTATTGGTATTGATTTCTTCAACCTCCTTATTTGACGTAGTAGATGAGGTACTTTCAATTTCATTGCTGGAGATTTTAGTGATTGTTGTTGTTTTAGCTGTTAGTTGTTTTTCAGGTGTTTCACTTAGTATAATCTGTAAAACCTTTTCCATTTCTTCTAAGTCTCCAAAACCACAATCACGTACACATCTTAGAACGGCATTAAACGAATAATAATCTGGTTCTATGTTTTTCTGCAACATTTTATGCCAAGTTAATAAGCAATGCCTGAAAGTATAATAAAATAAAATGGAATCTTTTGTATAGCGATAGTTAGATTTTGCTGATAGCTGATCAATTATAAATTTACTCGGAAAGAACTCAGCTTTGACTGTATAAAGTTTCTTTGCGATAGTTAACGAGATAACGAAACATATAAAAAATAAAATTGCTAAAACACTTACCTGAAACCATGTTTTTCATCACTAGCACATGCCTGTAGTAGAAAATTAAAGGTTTCTCCCGTCATTGGCAATTTCTTATCCCGCATTTCATCGGCCAGAATATAAGCCGTCTTAACATCGCCCCATCTACCAAATGTTTTAATCATCGAATTATAATTTTTCACATTAAACTCATAACCACTTTCCAATAGTGATTCCCTCAAACGTATAGCTCTTGTCAGACCATCTTGACGACTTGGCGCATTAGCACAAGCATTAAATAATGAAGTGTAAGTACTTTCTTTCACCTTAAGACCACGTTGACGCATTTTGGTATATAACTGAAATGCTTTGCGGGTATAACCGGCCTTGGCACAACCACTTATTAGTAAATTGTAGATATAGTTTTCGGGCTTAACACGATCTTCTTTTAACATGCGCACTTCCAAGACTTCTAAAGCTTCTTTTACGCGGTGATTTTTAAAGTGTTCCTTAATCATCATGGCATATTCTTTTGTTCGGAGTTTTTTGGAACGGCGTGTCGGTCGTGTTATGTATTCTTCTTCTTGCAAATCACCTAAATTTTTCAAAATAGCATTAATTAGATGGTAATACCTATGTTATTTCTAGGAAATCTTTATTTACCTTCATCTTCTTTTAAGGGTTCTTTGGGAGCATCACCAAAAACATCGGGGTCATCTTTACTGATGTCAACATCTTTTGTATCTAGCGC